TTTTTTTTTTTTTTTTTTTTTTTTTCCTTTTCCTTTTGGTTTTCGTTAAATAATGGTATCTAATAAGATGTGGACTTATCTAAAGATTATTGTTATCACCATTTGCAGTCTCGGCTCATCGATCGCATGGTACATCTCCAGGTGAATTAAAGACAGCCTTTGAATCAAACATGAGCCTCCATTCACCAGGAGAAATAAGTACTCGTCCCAACGTACAAAGTTCTCATCTTGGCACAGCCGCCAATAGACAGGTAGTCAAGGAAGCAGCGAGTCCAGACAACACAGAAAGTCGATCTTTACACACCTCTGACCTTCACCAAAAAGACAGAAAAATAATAGGAACAAAGCGATTACTGTCACAAGGAGAACACATAACCAGGAGACAAGAAGGCGAAGAGCCTAAAGTAGACAATCAAGGAAATATGCCAACTAGTGCAAAAGTAACTACTGATAAAGAAATCGGTGAGCCATCCTCCCGACCTCCGCCAATATGTGTACCCATTCCACCTATGGACGATAGTTCTTTGAATAGCGAAGAAAGGCCTGGTGGTGAGCAGGAGGACACTTATGGTGACGTATCATCTATATCTGGTGAAGACTTTTGATTATATCATGTTGCTATTAACTCCTGTCAAAAAAAAAACCAGTCAACTATGCGGAATAGTCTAAACCAGTTGTCCCGTGTGATAGGCTAAGAGCTTTTATATTTAGAGAGGAAGCTTTCCAAAATAAATATTTAAAAAATTCGTGCGCTTGCTCAGCAAGCTCAGCAATCTCTGTTTTGCTCGGGCGCACACCGGGATATAGCTATTGTATAGTCAAAAACAATATATAAATACGACCTTGCGTGCCTAATAAACAATTGAAGTTTTTTAGGCTTATCAAATTACTACTTGTTGGTTATCGTGAATAGTGTATTTAATATTTTGCGCACGTAATTTACATTATGCACATAAATGGCCTCTGGTTTCTTGACTGCATATTTCTTGAACGAAAACCTCGTTTGAACCATAAAACATACAGCGATGATGATAGCTGAAAAATTAAATAAATGATAGTAATTTAAAACAATCTTGTGGGAACCCTGTGGTATCGAACATTATTCTGCGCGTGTTTTGCTCTCTGGGAGCCAACATATTGGTAAATGCAAGCTAGACGTCTAGCCAGCACAGTGGGAATGTATATCATATTTAGTAATATTGCAAAATTTGTAGGGAAAAAACACCGAGGTTGACCCAAATGATCTATTTTGCAAGAAATCCCGAATGTGCCGACTACCACTATCATTGAACTTTATTGGTCGATTGTCTCCACTGTTCATTTCACGAAGTTTACTGACCAATCAGAAGTATTGTTTTAAAATCCCGGGGAACACACGAACAAAAGCCGAACATTGCGAAATATACTCGCTGGATTAGCAAACAGGACAAGAAAGATAGAGAACGACTTGTGGAAGAGGTGCTTATGTAAATCTTTCTACTTGGAATACAGTTGTGTTTGTTTATAATCCATAATGGGAGACAACACTGCACTCTGCTACAAACCATTCAAACAGCGAAAGAGTTTTGGTAAGTTACTACTAGTCTTGTTTTTCGCTCGATACACATTTCTCGTAAAAGGCAACTCAAACGCAACGTTGATGCTTGTGTTTCGTCCTTTTAAATATCTCCTAAATGTAACTTGTCGTTACAATTTATGTCCTAGTGAGTAGAAGGGATGAAGTTGCCGGAATAAGAGCGAAGTTCCCTTCGAAAGTTCCCGTAAGTACTGTACTCTGTAGTATCTGTCTACGATAAGGCAGTTTACCCGTTTATATCGCATGTAAACAAAGGAAACACTCGTTTTCTGCTAACTCGAGCAAGACACTCATTTCAGGTCTTCTTGTCGTTTATCAGGTTATCGTAGAGCGATATCACAAGGAAAGAGATCTCCCTCTCCTGGACAAAACAAAGTTTTTAGTACCTCAAGAGTTAACCATGAGTCAGTTCGTCACGATTATTCGGTAAGTCGGATTGTTCTTTTATATTACAAAGTAAACTTTAAAATCTCCATGTTTATTCCATGGTTTCCTTCTCTTTTTGGTTTTTCTTCGTTTCTAATGTAACAGCAGGGGAAAAGCGTAACTTTTACTTTCAAAATATGTCTCTCTTACCTTGTGAAATATTGTACAGATGCAAGCAAGTTTTTCTTTATAACTAATTTCCATACCCAATGATATTGTACTTGGAATTTGTTTCCGTTTTTAGAATCTGTAATACAACATCAGGCTTATATTTGTTTGTGTACGTGTACAATAATTATGTTGTTATTTTGCTTTAGAGATTTTTTTAAACCTATAATGTCGTTAGTCATCCCTGAGTCAACAGAAGTCTTCTACTGATCTTAGTCTCTTTTTATCACCTTGCGATATCATATTTTCTCGGATAATACAGCTACCGTTTTGTTCAGATCGAAAGCTAGTTTTAAACCTTTGCATGTTTTATTCCTTAGAATCGTTGGTTCATAGGAGTACGTGAAGTTGACATGATTCGTTACTCGACCTCTCAGTCGGTTTAAAGTTCGAACGTGACTACACATGATTTGCTGAGCATTGAAAATAATTTATTATCTCCTTGACGATCCCCCATGTTGAACACTGTTAATCGATAATCAAATCTCTTTTCTTTCGTGATTTTATTATTATGTCAGCTGATTAACAGGAAGTGCATTGTTGTGGTTTTTGACTGCCTCATTTTGGAATGTCAGTTTACTAAAATAGAAACATATTTACAGCTGCTGTAAAAAAAATCAAACAGCTATTTCGAAAAAGGTTGGTAAAGGTTTTGCTGCATGATGCTTACTAAGCTTGAGATGTATTAAATTGCCCTATTTCACTATGATGTCACATCAAAACAATCTATTTAAACAAAAAGGATCATGGTCGTCGGAGGGGGTCAAATCAACTAGAATTCACCAAAAATTGTTCTAAAACCCGTATCAATCCACGAAGAGAAGTAGAATAGCCAGCAAATGCTCAGAATATTTTTTAGTACATATTAATTACACATATTATATCTGAAAACCAGGCCATTTTAGATTAAACTGTTTCGCTAGGAGCAAATTTTGTTGAATTTTCTATTGGATTTGGCGATTCTATCCCCCACTTAAACAAGCAGTGACGTCATAGTGAAATAGGGCAATTCATGTCAGCACAAAACAAAATTATGCAAGAAAAACATACAGACTTTGTTTAGAAATTGAAACTTCATATCATTATCACATTATGCTGATTGTATTCACATCATCCATACTACATTTTGGGATAGGTATACTATGAAACCTTCAACCTTTTTTGAAATAGCTGTACACATGAATGGAAGATTAAGAATTTTAACTGGCAGGGTTATCTTCGGTTTGACAATTTGTGCTTTACAGTGTAGACACACTAATTTTGACCTCTTGAACAAATTGTAACATATAAAAAAAACTTTAGCCAATCAGGAGAGAATAAGTAAATAAGTATCATATTGACCTCAGCCAATCACAATCACTCATTCTCATGTTTGTTGGTAACATCTAAGTCTTCTCAGATATCTAAGCTCCATTGCTTGCTTCTGATTGTTTCAAGTTTGACTTAAGCTTGATTCCTTTGAATTTCCTTTCTTCAAGTGTGTCTGTACAGTAATAATACACCAAATTGTAAAGTGGTGACCAATTTAAATGACTATCATTCAAGACTGACTAGCCTTGTGTTCACGTTAAAAAGCTTTTGTCTTTCTACGTGAACATGAGGCTAGTCAGACCAGAACAATAGTCATTCAATTTGGTCCCTATAATTTAACAAATTGACATCAGATTTTTATGTGTCTGTCCTCTTATTGACAATAAATTGCGTCATCACATTGTCAAAGTAGTGTGGATCTGCATACTACTTTGACAATGTGATGGCGAAATTTATTGTCAACAAGAGGACAGATACATAAAAGTCTGATTTCTTTTTTTTTTTTAAATAATAAGAACAATAAAAACTCCTCATTTTTAGCGATCAAAACAACCAACGGAAAGAGCTTGCGCTCGTTGACTTCAGCTTCATCTGTCTGTCCTCTTATTGATGATAAAAAATAACCAATCAGTGTGTGAGAAATTTGTAAGTCATTGCAAAAATTTCGATTGAGTGTTTTAATTTATTTCGATTTCAGGAATCGCATGTCATTATCATCTACACAAGCTTTTTATCTCATTGTCAACAACAAAAGTTTAGCAAGTATGTCAATGACTATGCAGGAATTATACAGAGAAGAAAAAGATGAAGATGGCTTTCTTTACATGGTCTATGCTTCCCAGGAAATGTTTGGATCCAGTAGGTAGAGAATTGTACAGGATAATAATTATTTGCTTTAGTAATTACCCCTGTTATTTATAGCTCTCAAAACTATACATCTCAAATGGTTACTAGATCCAAGCCCTATCTAGCTGGCGAAAGCAAGAGTTTGTTATATGTTAACTTGAGCTGAGCTTTCAGATGCATGTCACAAAGGAATATGACCCAACTTCAATTCATGGACAATGAAAATCTTTAGAGGCATTTTAGCTTTGCCTAGCTATAGGTTTGTTATTATTTAAGTGATAATCTCAAGATGTCATAGAACTTAGACTTTTCATATATCAAACACCTATTGCAAGTTTCTATTGATTTTATCCATAGCAACCCCTGCAGTAATGATAAAGGCAAATACTGTCAGATATTATCAAGACGTTATCATAGCAGTGACCTCAACACATACACTTATTTGTAAAATCGTTGTCTAGTTCAAAACATAGAATTTAGAAACTGTGACCGAAAGGTATACTGGAAAATGACATATTATCTTCCGATGTATTCACTTGAGATTCACAGATGCTGTCAGTGTAAAAAAGTATCAACATTCCACAAGTTGTATCCATAAATAATATACTGTCCTTGTACCAACAATGATTTTGCAATTGAGTGTATGTTATTCAAATTTCTTTTCTTGCTGATGATGTCTCAGAAATGGAAAGAACCTTGTACTCTGCTGCACTTAAGCGCAAATTTAATCAAAGTAAAATCACATTTCAAGAAGTAAATTTTGACAAATTAGATTTTATTTACTCGGACATTGCTGAGAAATGATTTATATGCTTGTAGCTAGATTAGTGTACACAGGAATTATGCACGTGTCATTATTAATCATAATTACTCCTGTCCCATCTTACTATCAATCCAATGACAACTTCCAAGGTGAAATAAAATCTTAAAAGATTTAATGAACTCCCTGGAGAATGACTGCTTTTAATATTCACCTAAACAATAAAAAAAGATTATGCAACTGATGCTTCTGTCATGATGAATTACTGTGTTGTTAAAGACCATTGTTAAAGCTGATTGTTGATTGTTGTGTGGGTATATGTACTAGGTGTGGGGACATGTCCTGGTTGCAGGTACATGTCCTGGGTGTAGTTACATGTTGTGGGTGGATGTCCTGGGTATGGGTACATGTCCTGGGTGTGGGTACATGTTTTGGGTAGTGGGTACATGTAATATGGGTGGATGTCCTTGGTGTGGGTACATGTCCTGGGTGTGGNTTTTGGGTAGTGGGTACATGTAATATGGGTGGATGTCCTTGGTGTGGGTACATGTCCTGGGTGTGGGTACATGTTTTGGGTAGTGGGTACATGTAGTATGGGTGGATGTCCTGGGTATGGGTACATGTCCTGGGTGTAGGTACATGTTTTGGGTAGTGGGNGGTGGATGTCCTGGGTATGGGTACATGTCCTGGGTGTAGGTACATGTTTTGGGTAGTGGGTACATGTAGTATGGGTGGATGTCCTGGGTATGGGTGGATGTCCTTGGTGTTGGTACATGTCCTGGGTGTAGGATGTTCCTGGATCTGCCCTTGACAGTCAATGGTGTGTCATACATTATTGGCTAAGAGGTTCCAATTGGGAAAAACTATCCAAGGTCCATTTTTAAGGCAGAGGGAAATAAAACTTGTCAATGCTAATCACCACTGCAAGTACAGCATATATCAATCAATCACATTTCCTTCTAAGTTTCTTGATAACCTTCAGAACTGTCAATGATTGAATTAAATACCAGATAATTTAATTTTCTTGCAGACAAAATATCTGGTCATGGGTAGGTTTTTCACCTGGTTACTGTGACCTTTAAATTTTATTGATACCCTGAAACAGCTGGGTTTTGGACAAGCTGACTAACAATATTCTAATTGGAATTTAGTGTGTTGGGTTTGTGAAGGGAGAAAAACTGGAGAACTCTGAGAAAAACCCTCAAATCAAGGGAGAGACCTACATTAATACCCACTGGCAGAGCCCCCAACACCAACCCCCAGTTTTTTCTGGCAAGGTAAAACAAGAATAACAATATCTAGACATTTTGATTATTTGTTCAATAAATTTTTCGTACCCCCACCCCCATTGAAGATCATGACATGACAACATGAAGATCCCTACTGTTCAGGACTTACCCCTGAAGAATACATGTGAAATGGGATTCCTCAACCCAGCACAGCGCAAAGAAACACATAAAAACAAACCCCTGATAAATGGAATAACTCTAATTATATAATAAGATTAAGAGTTCATTATGCTCTTAATTTGTTCATGTAATAACATTAATGTCGTCATTAGTTGATTGTCATCATCATCATCATCATTCTTTATTACAACTTCATATACTTCATTATCAAGTCCACATTCTGATTCAGCATCATCAACTCCAGCAGTGAACACCCATCCTCGGGACTTCCGCACTTGTTCTGATGCTTGTACTCTTACATGAAGGACATTAGGATAATGTGATCTAAAATACTGCACATCGCTTACTCTTCTAGCATCTGATACTAGCCAAACTAGTTTGGTAATGAGTTGTTGTGAACTCTCTGTAGATATGGTATTTTCATGATATGCCATCTTAGCAGCAAGATTACAAAAGTAAGATGGATCCTGGTTGCGTTTTTCTTCTCCCCACTGAATCATGTCTTTTCTGAATTTTTCCTTGTATGATGAAGAATCCAGAAGTTTATTGAAATCTAATGCATGGATGCGAGCATATTCTTGTTTTAAAGGCCCAGAAAGTCGTAGTACTTCACAAAATTCCACTCCAATTAGATTTGCGAGTTTTCCTACTACGAAATCTTTACCAGATTTTCGTTTTCCACTGAAAATACAAACAACCTTCGGCTCGGCCGCCATTTTGATTGAAGCAAAGGCGGACACTCCATGTCATCTTTTTTATTACGTCTCATATAGGAAAGATCGCTAAACTAAGTATTACACGAAGTAGCTATCTGAGGCCCACGAGGTCTGGGGACGAGGCAGTTGGACAAGATGGCGACCGTCAGTAAAGAAAACCTTGATCTTTCTCAATATACGATTTCAACCAATACTACTATCAATTTCCTGGATTGCCAAAATGCTTTTGAAGGATTAACAGACGAAGAGAAGCTCTACGCACATTATTTGCTGAAAGCCTCTTGGGAAGGCAGTTTGATTTGTCTTTTTCAAACCTCTCCGGAAGCACCAAGAATTTTCCAACTTTTCCAAAAAGTGTTCAGTTTTGAAGAAGTTAGCGAGATAAAAGAGAGGGCACTAAAAGCTGAAAATGGATTGACTGTAGAAGAATTTGAGGTTAGGAACAGATGCACATAAGCTATGTGCTTTTTTTTTATTATAAAAAAATATAATTTTTTAAAAGATCTAGCTAGTGATAAATTAGTATTACGGCTATGGAAATACTATGTCACCAAATATGCTAAATCCCATTTGATTTTGATATGGTAAAAATTGTCTTTTACATCACTTGTTAACGATCAAATGCTCCTTGTTTTACGAGGGTAGCACTTTAAATAGCCAATGGCCAACAAACCTGGTGCCCTTATTTCTTTATACACCCCTTGCGTGTGATGTCGATCTAGGGGAAAAAACAGCAAATAAAATTTACATGAGAAATATGTTTTCAAATCTCAAAAGAAGGAAACTGAATAGACCCCTTGCTAAAATGGTGGCCCCGAATTCGGTTGAGTTAAAATTAAACTGAGAGAAAAACCAATACCAGCACACTAATTCCCTATTGGGGTTCAAAACAATAGACCCCTTGCAAACATGGCAGCCGAAAATTGAAATGCGTTAAATTAAAAAATCAATACAGCACTGGAAAGTGCACCTTTATTTTAGTAATCTTACAAATATTCATTTTGTCAGGTGTAGTATCGGCCGAGAAAACTCAAGTTGAAAATTGACAAATTTACGGACATTTGTATGTCTGGGGATGTATGCTATACCCATGACATACAAACCTCTGTAAATAATTTGTCAATTTTCAACTTAAGTTTTCTCGGCCAATATGACAACTGACATAATGAACCTTCATAGGCTTACTAAACGGAAAGGTGCACTTTCCAGTGCTGTATTGATTTCTTAATTTAATGCATTTCAATTTTCCACTGCCATTCTGGCAAGGGGTCTATTGTTTTGAACCCCAATAGGGAATTAGTGCAAGTGCAAAACTGGGGAAAACCCCTGTAGCACAGGAGAGAACCAACTACAAATTCATGTATGACACTGGATCCTGGAATCAAACCCAGTCACATTGGTGAGAGGCTAGAGCTGTTGATACAGTTTTCTCTTTTTCCTCCCACACAGTATTGTACTCACCTTTATTACAATTGTTTCCATTGCTACACACTGATCTTTAAGAAATATTAGTTATACAGGTGATCAGCAGAGAACACAAAGGTAGATGGAAACCATGGTCTGCTGTTTAACCTGTGGTACCTTTTGTCTTGATCACTATGTAGCAATATAAAGCAGTGGTAAATTACCTTATTCTTACTGATTTTTATGTGGACTAAATTTTGCGAAAAGTTGGAAGCCAACTTTCATGAGTATTAATTTTCATGATTTCAAGGAAATTTGAGTAAAAGTGCACTAAATTTATTAAATTGAATTATTATATGACCGCGAATCTTAGAGCCTGGACACTAGCAAATCGAGCAATCTGATTGGATAGATCGCATCCTGGACTGGTCTAGATTCTCTGGTATTAACCGGTCCGATTGCATATTAATCTTACGGCGAAAACATTTTGTCCTTTTCAATGAAAAGTGGTCATATAATAAAACTCTTATCAACCGAGCCTAGTTGGTCTGTAAGGGATAATCTTGACCGAGGTCGGGTACAGACCTCGCTGCACTCGGTCTGTACATTCCGACCTTGGTCAAGATTATCCCGTACAGACCTCCCGCTCGGTTAATAAGATCTAATTATTAAATTTTGTATTAAATATTGTTGTTTAATTGCGAAAATATTATTAAGAATAAGGCAATGTTTGTTAATGAACAACTTTCTGTAACATTCACTTCACAGTGCTTTCTGATGTATGTAGCTTCATTTTATGGCAATATTGGGAACTATAAGTCATTTGGAGATACAAAGTTTATACCTGCATTATCAAAGGTAATAACTGCAGTAGCTTTATTTTATAATTCTTGTTTGATAATGCATCATTAAAGTAATTTCCTTTTTTCTTCCACTGCATGTTGAAAAAATATTAATAAATCCTATTAAATATTATTAATTGTGTTTTGAAACAGGAAAAATTTCAAGCTATAATTTATGCTAGCAAAGCATATCAAGATGATCCCAAGGCAGTTGAAAATCCGTGGCAAGACTGTAAGGATCCCATGTATTCTCTGGGTGTTAAGTTGAGACAGCTTGGATTTGGTGACCAGGTATCTATTTGAATTATCTGTTATCTAAAAAAAAATAATGATCTTATGCTTCATTCAGGTCTGGGGTAAGAAAAATTGTTTTGAAACTAGCTTGATTAATTCAGTGACCTGATTATACACCTCTTTACTTTGGGCATATGTTTTTCCCATTTCAGACCACGTCATTCTCTTGAGATTGAGATTCTTTGTTTGATTAGTATCCATATTCATTTGTATTCTCATTTAGTGATATACACAGTATGAGTGACCGTGTTGTATCAGATATACAAACTCGAGGCGTATCAGAGCGTTTGTATATCAGATACAACATGAACACGAATACTGTAGATTGCTTGTCAAACGTCTAGGTTAGTTCCTTTGTGTTTCACTAAAATTTTCAAAATTAAAGTGAATTTGGCCAAGGAAATCCAACTTAAAGTTTATGCAAATGAACACAATTTTGTTTTAGATTTACAGCACTCTTCATGGTCATGATTTCTGTTGTGTTTTCCTCATGAATTATTAATGAGTTTGACAAAACCTTTAAACAAAGATGTGATTCTCTAGGGAATGGCAGGTGGTCTAAAATGGGCATTACATCTCAGTGGCCAAACTTTATCGTTCAGTTACTCTCCCAGTAAGGAGACCACAGCTTTAAGCCCAGCCAGAGTTTCTTAAGGGGAGTGGTAGTCATAGATACAATTAGATTGTGTTTTTCAGTGGATTGGAGTATCTCAACTTGGTTTTTCTTTCCACATCAGTAATAATACTAATGATAATATAATGACAATATTAATTATTAAACATTAAAGGCTCTCTCAACATATTACTCAAGCAACTGTGACAAGTCTGATGCAGAGTTTGTTCAAGGTTTCTTAAAAGAAAAGGTAAGAATTAATTTTATTCTTGATTACTTTTTAAATAGTCTTTTCTATACAACTGAAGAACTTAAATGAATACAACTGAAAAACAGCTATCAAATTATTATTGTTGTTGTTGTTGATATTATCATTATTGTAGACTGGATATGATTCTATTTACATTGTATTAGTACCAACAGTTTCCTTTTTCTACTTAGGGTATTGATGCTTATAATACTCGTCTTTTTAAAGAAGTTGATGCTGATCAACGCATAACTTATAATCTTCGTATTGCATCAGTCTGCACAACAGGTACTTCCCATGATCCAATTGACAGGCTACCTTACAAAGTCCACCTCAAATTAAGGATACTAGTCTGGTTGTATATGCTATATCTTTTCAATTGTCACTATCAGGTGCTGCTGCTTTAGTAATGAAAGCTTTCTATAGCCTAAAAACACAACAGCATAAATACTAAAGCCTGGTGCACAAAAGTACATTTTATTAAATATATTTGCATACCAGTACCTTTGTGCACAGGGTTTTTGCTGTCAAACAAGCTTTTATATGCTCATTATTTGGTAAAACTATCCAACTTCACATCAAAATGTGCATGCCAGTTACGAACAGAAGCCAATGTAAAGTATGTAAATAAATTATTGCCAGTCATATTTTTGCACGTAGACCTTTGTTTTTTTAAGTTAGTAGTCAAAGTGTATACTGTACTTTATTTATTGTACTGAATCAATAAAACATGTGTTAATGGAATATATTTTGAGAACCTGCTTAATACAGACACCCTGCACTAATATGGCCACTTTGGCCTGCTCCTTTGGTGGCCTTTTTAACCGAGCTCAACAGCTTTAACTAACCACTCTTTTCACTGGGAAATAGGGCAACACACTGCCGTCAATCAGAGAATATAGAGGTACCGACCAATTTATTTGTTTGACAGAAGCATATTGCCCAATTTCCCTGTCACAACTGTTGTCTTGTTCAGCGCATAGCAATGAAAAGAGTGGTAAATCTCCTGATCCAGGTCTTGACAACACATTTTTGTTGTAACCATAAATACTTACTTGTTATCTCCAGCTGAACCATTGAATGGTGTAGAAGACAAGATGTCTTCCTTGATAGCTTCACATGAATACAAAAGATGCACCATCAAGATTACAAGAGGAGATTATTCTGGACTCTTAAAAAGAGTGGTGGAAAATCTAGAAAAAGCTGTGGTAAGTAAAAACACTTGAATAGATCTGTGGAATATTGTTGGAACCAAGAGTAGCTTACACTAATTCCTTAATGGATAGTTACATACCCTGTTCCTTATTAAAACCATTCCAATAGACAATTTTCTCAAGGTTATGTGTGCATCCAACTTGACAGGCCAAAAAACTGAAAAACGCAAATTCAGTAAAATTAAGCTAACAGTTTTATATTTAAAGAGGAGAATGATTGATTTTATGGATTCTTATCAAAACATTTTTCATAGCAATGCATGATAATACTCAAGTTCTGGTGTCGTGGTCCGTCAATTTCCTTAAATTTGGATGCGCACACAATCTTGAGAAAACGGTCTATTGTTTTATTACTTTGTATCAAGATGATTCCCCCAGTATATCATTTTTTCCAACAGCCTACCAGACCAAGCGGCCAACAAATCCAACCTGCTCAACAGGCCCAACAGACCCAGTTAATGTGTGAGGCCAGTTGATGTGTTCCATGTAGTCTGTTATTGTATTGGGCTCATTGGTCTGTATGGCTCATTAGTCTGTTGGGATGTTGGACCCAATGGTCAGTTGGGCCTGTTGTCTGTAGATATGAGAAAGCTGCAACCAAACAAATGCAGAGAGAAATAGGGCAAACATTTACAGCATGTTACCATTTCACTTTTATATACACAAAACCTAAATAACTGTGACTAAAGGCTGTTCATCAGTAGTGTGAGTAGATGAAGTTAGAGTTAAAAATGCTTGAAAATTGAAGTGCCAATGGGAGAAAAAGTGGCTGGGGTAGAACCAACTTGTGCACATGCATGCACACGTGTGTAGCTTTTAAACTGCCTGCAAAATTGCCTGCTGCAGTAATTGCTGTTGGTGACTTTGTTGGGTTCAACATCAAACATCAGTGGGGAACAAAGATCCCTAAATTGTGCCTCATGGCTGAATATTGATTGTTAATTGGTAATGTGATTATATTCATGTTTATTGTCACAGACATATGCCTCAAACGAAAGAGAAAAGTCGATGCTCAAAAGCTACATCATTAGTTTTAATACTGGTAGTATAGAGGATCACAAGCAAGGCTCGCGCTTCTGGATCAGGGATAAAGGACCCATTGTTGAAACGTATGTAATGATTTCCAAGTTAGATTATTGATATTTTGTTCAGTCTTGCTAAGTGGTTCGTTTCTTTCATTTATTGTTAGGTACATTGGTTTTATTGAGACGTATAGAGATCCATTTGGAGTCAGAGCAGAATATGAAGGTACTTGTAACATGTCCATAGTTTTGCTCACTACAGTAGTTTTTTTTCATGACTGAAAAGCTCAGTGCCATATGTGTACCCTGTGACCACTGTAATATTCTAGATTTTTGATTGGCTAATTTTTTCTTGCACAATGTGAATGGTCTGGCAGTGCTGTTACCTTGGTGATGACTGTGTCCATGCCATGTTGCAGCTCAAACTGGATGGAGAATTAATTCTTGCACAATGTGATTGATCTGGCAGTTACCTTGCCAATGTCAGTCCACATTAGGGGGCTCTTCACAGGAATATACCTTGCCATGTCAGTCCACATTAGGGGGCTCTTCACAGGAATATACCTTGCCATGTCNACAGGAATATACCTTGCCATGTCAGTCCACATTAGGGGGCTCTTCACAGGAATATACCTTGCCATGTCAGTCCACATTAGGGGGCTCTTCACAGGCATATACCTTGCCAATGTCAGTCCACATTAGGGGGCTCTTCACAGGCAGTTACCTTGCCATGTCAGTCCACATTAGGGGGCTCTTCACAGGCACATACCTTAGCAATGTCAGTCCACATTAGGGGGCTCTTCACAGGAATATACCTTGCCATGTCAGTCCACATTAGGGGGCTCTTCACAGGCAGTTACCTTGCCAATGTCAGTCCACATTAGGGGGCTCTTCACAGGCAGTTACCTTGCCAATGNGCTCTTCACAGGCAGTTACCTTGCCAATGTCAGTCCACATTAGGGGGCTCTTCACAGGCAGTTACCTTGCCAATGTCAGTCCACATTAGGGGGCTTTTCACAGGCACAAAAATTAAGAACTGCTGTATTCAAGTAAAATAATGCTTTTGATTGTTGCTTTTTCGTTTTAGGTTTTGTTTCCATCGTAAATAAAGCAATGAGTGAAAAGTTTGGTCAGCTGGTAGCAGGTGCAGAAAAGCTGCTACCCTGCTTGCCATGGCCTTCAAGCTATGAAAAAGACACATTCCTGCGACCAGACTTCACGTCTTTAGATGTGCTAGGGTTTGGTAGTAGTGGTATTCCAGCTGGTATCAATATACCTAATTGTAAGTGCTCTGACTGATAATAATATTTATAAACCTCTTTACTGCAATTTTTCATAAACATGCAAACTCTGTGTCTGCAAGCTGCACGCTGAAATTTGGTTTTTCGCGGCTGCCAGTCAAAAATATACAAGGTACCGACTGATTAGGTTTGACTGGCGGCCGCAAAAAAACAAATTTCAGCATGCAGCTTGCAGACACAGAGTTTGCATGTTTATGAAAATTGCAGTGTCGTTTTCTTGAGAATGAGTTTCTTTGTTTGAGTTGTATCCATACAGTCAATTCAAAAAATGTTGTTTTCGACCAACTCAAACCTACACAACTGGACCGAAAGGAACTCTGGGTAGTAAAAATTGAAGCAAAGTTGACTCCATAATTTTACTAGTTGTGCCTGGTTTACAGCACGAACCTTCATAGGCGAGCGGGAAGTGTTGAAGGAGACGTTTTTATGATGCTTTCATATTTTCGGAATTTTGAGCCAAATCATAACTACTTTGTTTTTCTTTCCCTAAACCCGAAGACATGCATTTGATGGATTGTTGCTCACCATTATTATCTTATTACTAGCAGGAGCAATTAATTCAGAACGAATATTTATTTATTCCTTTGGGTCCAGTCACGTAGGCTTGAGCCAGTCAACAACAACTTTTTTTGAATTGACTGTATTCATTTGTCTTCTCATGCCCAACTGTTAAACAGAGAATTGATACTCTAGGGAATGACATGTGGTCTGAAATGGGAAAACATTATGCTTAAGCTAAAGAGGTCTATTGAGGGTTTGCAGTCAACTCGCCCACGGACCAACTTGCCCACGTATAAAATAATGCGTTTGCCAACTCGCCCATRCAATTAAACTCGCTTACATTTAGAATCACTTTAAGAAATATCTAACCATATATTAAGACTAAATAAAAAGTAGTTCGTAATTTAGTGACCTTACTTGACACTTAAGCTCAAGACTTCAAAATGCAAGCTTTTTAAACGCGTGGGCGAGTTGACTGGTGACCCTATTTGAGCTGTGAAGCAAAAAAATCATTATCAAGCAATGAGAGATTAGTTACATGTCACTAATGATTCCTATGTAACTAATGATTCCTTTTGTATTGTTTACAAAGATGATGACATTCGCCAAGAAGAAGGGTTTAAGAACGTATCCCTTGGTAATGTTCTTTCTGCTCATTCTGCTGATCAGAAGATTACATTTCTTGATGAACAAGACGCAGTAAGTACAAAGGACTTGTCTTTTTCCTTGCTGGTGTGAATATACGTAATGAGAACAAACCAACTGATCTGCTATCACTGATAGGAAATCTATGCCAAGCTCAAGGCTCCTTCATTTGAAGTTCAAGTTGGTCTTCATGAGCTGCTTGGTCATGGAAGTGGTAAACTTTTCATGCAGGTAACAACATCTCATTTCTACTGTTTTGCTTCAAATTATTCTTTTTCTCTTATCCTCCTTGCCCACCAAAAATGCCAGTAGTAATATCCTATTATTTTTTACTAGAAATCTGATGGAACGTTTAACTTTGACATTGAATCAGTCAAACACACAGAAACTGGAGAAAAGGTAACACATTTATTATTATTGATCCAATATAATAAACATGGATAAATGGCATGTGCTATTAGGACTCTAGGTTGAATCGTTCAAATGGATTGATCTTGTAATTTCTGTGTGTATTATCATCCCCCAGGGGCATAGCCAGGGGGGTGTATAATTTTAAAAAACCCGCCTTTTATTTGCACCCCCCGAAACTCTGAACCAAAAGAAACCAGCCTTACGTCTTAGGTTAACTTTGTACATAAAAATATATAAATCGGCATTACATTTTACATTTTTTTACGAAAAAAATTGAAATTATGCTATAAAATCTAAAAGGCTGCCATTTTATTGCCACAGAGGGGGGAGCTGTCCCCCTTGGCCCCCCGGCTATGCCCTTGTCCCCAAAACAAATGTTGATGTTGGATGAACATAGTGGGGAGGAAGGGGGTAGCTGTAGGGATGCCCAAGGTACCCAATGTGTATGTACAATGTGTCACAGTTTTGAGGCATGCTGGGTAAGAATGGGGGAAGGCATACCAAGGGACAGGATGGATCCCAAATGATCTTTTTCAAGTTCTTAATAGTTCTATTTATACATAGATCCAAAGCTGGTACACAGAAGGAGAAAACTGGTACACTAAGTTTGCTGACATTTCTTCTTCGTATGAGGAATGCCGTGCAGAATGTGTAGGAATTTATTTATGCTTGAATCAACAAGTCTTGAGGTACAAAATGGTCCTTTTCTATCATTTTTAGTATCCTGTATATTTTTCTGTATTTCATTTTTGGTATCCTATATTGATGTTCATCTTCACTAAAGGTGTTGTGTATCTTTGTCTAGCATCTTTGGCCATGAGGGAGAAATGGCTAACGACATTATCTACATCAATTGGCTGAACATGGTTCGTGCAGGACTTTTAGGGCTTGAATTTTACACTCCAGAGAACAATAAATGGCGTCAGGTACAAACTTGCCTCTATTAGCCATTACTTAGTTGAGTTTAAAAAACTGGGTCGATTGAGCATTTAAGTGCATTGTAACTGTTTTAGCGGACGAAATAGGAATAGAGGACACTTTGAAAATGTGTCCTACACAGTCCCACAATGCACTGCGATGTCAACTCGACCCAGTTTTTTCTCAGACTCGGAATGGCAAATATTTGCTTTGTTTAATCTTTTTCTAATGAACTCTGATTATATGAGATGAAATTATTCAGCTTGTAACAGTGAACTGTGGAATCGTGAAAATATCCGAGTTCCTGGTTTGTTTTTTTCTCCTTTCTTTTCTTTCCTTCTTTCTTTCTTTCTTTTGATTTATTTGGTATTTTACATTTATCAAACTAGTATAGGAAATCGCATGATCTCGAGTACCAAAGCCTAAAGGCTCGTCCAATTTCGGAAACTTTCAAAACATCACGAGTATCTATAAATTCCGAATTGTACGAGAAGATTGTGCAATTTTTTGAACCCATGGTCTTCCCTATTCTAGTTAAAAGCTCTACCATTGAAATTATTCTCTACCATGACATAATGTGATTGTGTTTTCATTTTTTTAGGCTCACATGCAAGCACGTTACGTTATTTTACGGGTACTCCTAGAAGCAGGACAACAATTGGTTAAGTTGGAGAAAATCAATGGTTCTGATGGCCAACCAGACCTGATTCTAACTCTTGACCGCAGCAAGATTGAATGTGTAGGGAAGCTTGCTATAGGAGACTTTTTAAGGAAACTGCAGGTATATGTCGACATTTAAACATATATATTTATCCAGAAGAGTCATTACTGTATTAAAAGAACTTTCAAATTCCGTTATCAAACATTGAAGCAACCACTTAAATGATCTAACATTGAAGCAACCTTTGGGGTGATCTAAATAAGGACACGGCTAATTAAGTCACAGATCAAACCCTGAAACAACCTCTGGGCTAATCTAATTCAGGGCACGGCTAACTTATTCGGGTCGGTCCCTGAAAACAACCTCTGGGCTAATCTAAGTCAGGGCACGGCTAACTTATTGGTCGATACCTGGAACAACCACTGGGCTGGTTTAAGGTGGCTGGACCTCCTCACGCTTGACCGCTACCTTCCACGTTTGGAACGCTGGTGCATAAACGTGTTTTATCCAATTGCAAATCTTTTTTGCACATAAGTCACATAAAGATTGAATTAATGTTTGATGCAGTTTTTAATGAGATCGGACATCATAACATGTGACTATGAGGAAATATTTGTTTTCGTTTAGAGAACAATTTTAGCGTTCAACACTAAAATGCTTCGTACCACATAACCATATACTAGATGCCTCCATTTGTAGGGATTTTTGCAAAAAATCTATCTAGCTAATTATGAGATATTTGAGATTCTTTAAATATAGTGCATTATTTACTTCAAAACTAAACAATGGATTTGATACGGCCAAGATTAATATTTCAGAGCTATATATTCCCAAAAGTCATTGCTCATTTAGTTTTACTCTGTATCTAGTTTTAAAAGGAACATTTTGAAGGTAATCGACTTATGCGATTTCGTATGAACGTATTATGCATAAGACGGGGTAAACACTTGATGCGCACTTTTCATCGCAGTTTTCTAGTCAATCTTACTAGATCTTCCATTATTCTAAAATTCGTTGAAAAATTTCTCTCAAAACTACGTCAGGATACAAATTAGAACTTAAACTAATATTACATAAAATTGCGAGACTATTGAACTAATTTAAAGCGATCTAAAGCCAACGAGAAATACAGAAAACATTGATCGTTTCCCAACGATTTGATGCTCTGGGAATTCTATTGTTTGCTAATGATCATAACAACAAATTCTTTCGCACCATGCACGGTCTCATCTCGCTTGGCTGCTTTCCGATTTACTCCCGAAGTACGGTAATAAACAGTTGTTTTTTTGTATTCAAACGTGGGGCGTTTGAATATCGCATGTGCATGGATGGGAAAACAATCCTTGTGTTGTTACTATAGCCCAGTAGTTATCTTGCGTGATTATTTTAAAAATAATAATGTTTTTCTATCAAATTTTGAGAAGTATATATACAAAACGAGTTAATAATTTAAATATTTTCAATAGAAAAATCATGTACGCACATGTTATATAAAAACATGACTCAATTGATGACTTTTTAAATTGTGTCACTTATCTCCAGCATATTTTATCTCCAAAGTACAGCGTGACAAACGTCCCACGTTTGAATTAAAAATAATGATTAGCTAGATAGATTTTTTCAAAAATCTCTACAAATGGAGGCATCTAGTATATGATTATGTGGTACGAAGCATTTTAGTGTTGAACGCTAAAATTGTTCTCTAAACGAAAACAAATATTTCCTCATAGTCACGTGTTATGACGTCCGATCTCATTAAAAACTGCATCAAACATTAATTCAATCTTTATGTGACTTATGTGCAAAAAAGATTTGCAATTGGATAAAACACGTTTATGCACCAGCGTTCCAAACGTGGAAGGTAGCGGTCAAGCGTGAGGGGGTCCAGCCACCTTAAGTCAGGGCACGGCTAACTTACAGATCAAACCCTGAAACAACCTCTGGGCTGATTTAAGTCAGGGCATGGCTAACTTACAGATCAAACCCTGAAACAACCTCTGGGCTGATTTAAGTCAGGACACGGCTAATTTACTATGGCAAACAGGATTACTTTATACCATATGTGCCTTTCAGGTCTACAAATCTACAGCAGATTACGAAGGAGGCAAGGCACTCTATGACCATTACTCCAAAGTCGAGGAGGAATTCCTTGAATACCGTAAAATAGTGCTTGCAAGAAAGACACCACGCCGCATGTTTGTCCAGGCCAATACTCGTTGTCAAGGTAACGACAAGAAGCGTTTCGTTCGTTCGTTCGTTCGTTCGTTCGTTTGTTTGTTTGTTTTATGTTTGTTTGTTTGTTTTTTGATACGATTTTGCTGTCATTGATTACAGACAACAAGGTTTCCATGTCAACGTTCTCTTCCAATGCTGAGGGTATGATCAAGTCGTTTATCAGTCGCTTCCCTCGTGATGACCACGTGCTGGAAGGGCTGTGGAGAGCCGATTTACCCCACCACAAGTATTGACAACACACAAGGCTTGTATACCTAATGGGTGCCATTAACATTGATGGGATATCGTTATTTAAGATAATTAGTTTAATTAGTCTAATTGACTCCAGGCAAATGCAAATCGTTTTGTATCAACACTGAAGCACTAATCACGTTATTATAGACAAGCTAGGAATATTGGACGAACTCAGTTTTATCAACACGAAAATGTGCAGTTCAATCACGCGAATCTAATAAAAGCACAATTTAGTATTTACGAATAACATATAAATATTGACTGTCAGCGCTTCATAGGGTGGGGCAATGAAAGGCGTTTCTTGAATGCGTTCTAAGGTCTTCTAATCATGTCTAATGTGGCCCATTTGTGTTCATTTGTTGAAATCTGAATGGTATAAGGAAGAGATGTGGTCACGCTAGCTCGGCTACATTAGACATATATATTCTACTTTAGTGAGGGAAACACCCTCTGTTCTTTTTTATTTGAGTAGTACACAAGTTTTTCTCGCAAGTAGCCAACTCCTTGACGTTGGCTGTAATTCAGCACAACCTCAAACAATACGAATTGTTATCTTAAATATTAATATATAAACTACAAGTTGTGCTCGCAAGTAGCCAACTCCTTGACGTGGATAATTCAGCACGACCTCCAACAATACGAATTGTTATCTCAAATACCACAATAACTTTTTGAATTAACTTAGTTTATCTTGACGAAAGACTGTTGTGTTTGTGATCCGCTTTGAGCCTTAGCCCCCTCAGCAACATCACTCACCATGAATACTATGAATCTGACCTACTGACAATCAGTCTGCCTAGATACCATCGTACACTAGACGCACCGATGGCCATGGCCCAATGATAATGCATCATTACTATTCTCATAAAATACACATTAAAAATTTAGGTAAATTTTTCTGCTAAGTAACTTGTACCACTAATTATCTTGGATTTATAATGGACTTACTAGTCAGTATGCTGTGCGGACCACCGGCCACATCCTGTATGGGCAAAGGGAACCAAACTGAATAAGCCGCTTGCGCTAGACTCTTTGTTGTGGTTTGCGTCAAACTCTTCTTTTGTTGTTTGGTTGGTTTATTCCATTAACCTGTTTTTATACGCTAATAGGTTTTAAAAAGTCAACAATGTGTGTTTAGTCAAAGCAGACACCAGCTCGTATGAATACCCGAACTTTCTGAACCTCGCATTTGATCGCTGTCACAAAAGGCTTATTAGAGTTTTTTACCTCGAGGCAAAAATTCCATTCTTAAAAGATTCAAGTCAAAGACAACACGCGATAAGCCGCACCGCTAAAAATCGAAAAACAGCGCCAGAAATACATAATGCCTTCATCTTTATCTCATAGAAAACGGACAAAAGCAAGCAGCGGAATAATCGAGATAAGATTTCTAGAAGAGGAAAAAAAGAGATGACCGCTGTGGTAACGAGTATGCTGTTACTTGTGCCGCACACCACGTGCTAATAGTTTTTAACGAAGCCTTTTAAGTATTCATCTTCGTAACCAGATGATAGGTCTTTAATAGAAAAGATTAAAGATAACCGGCCGTTTTCTTTAAGACCGACTCGAATAGCTGTTATTCTGCCGTACGTGGTTGCTTTTCATTTTGAATTAACTAGTATTGCTTTTAGCCGATTTCTAAGTAAACAGATAAGTTTTTAAGAAAAAAGTATTTTGCCGCGATTGAAGAAAATTGGTCCCGCCAGGTAGGCGCGCTGTGCATGCTTGGTGTGACGACAGGATCAACGTAAACTAGTGCTACCGTATAAATATAATCAATCAGCTGTCCAGTCTGAAGTGTATTGCTGACCTGAGTTATGATATATCCGTCATTCAATGAAGTTTGGTAGAAGTCCTTTGCTGTCCTTGGAATCGCAACATGGATCTTTTTCACTGTAGTACATGGAATTCCATGCACATCTTGCTCCTCATTCAATGGTTCTCTGTCACAAGTGTCTGTAGCCCGAACTCCATTAGTCCCAGACGTTCTAAGTCAAACCTTACAAGTGGAGGTAAGACTGCAGATCTGTGGTTGAATTTGAATACAGACGTCTGGATTCTCTCAAGACTGATTTATTGAGAGCTTCGTTGAGTTTTAGCAGCTAAAGTCCTTGAAAGTTAAGTGTTAGCGATCAAAAGTTACCAGTCTTTGTATTGTAAATTGGCCTGTTTGGTCAATTAAACACTTGCAAATATTTCAACGTTTGCTTGCAAARCCATCGAGATATCAGCCCTTCCTATAACGTGTAAATGATAAGAGCGCCAAGCTTGACCATTAGTCGTCAATGCTAGCAAGATATTGAGTTTTGTGGGGGATATTAGGTTAGTTTTTTTAGCGCTCATGAATGCTGGACATCGATTGACAAGTCGTTTCTCTGTTTGCTACACTAATGAGGCAGCAATTATTTGATGGTTTTAGCCTGGGGAAATATCCAAGTGATATATCTTTCTTTTCTCTGAAGTGTTTTTATCAAGGATTAACAGCAATACGTGAAATGACTCCGCTTCAATAACCATCCAAAGTTCATTGAACAGTCGATCGTAGAACGGAACGGATCGGCTTTTGTGTTTTTAAAGATGAGAAATTTTAGGTGGTTTTTTTTGAACAATGAGAATAATATTGAATCTAGAAGCGGCATTGTTTGTAACCCATCTAACTTGAATATCCTTTTTGTCAAAGACTCGTTTCATCATAATCGTGGTGAGACTAGGATTAAATTTATGAATTCAAGACAAAATGTTGACGTGGCTGGCCGCGTTGGTTTCGATATTCGAACTTCTATTTGTAATAAAGAAAGCGTGCAAATGAAGGCTTAAGGGCCGATTCTATTCGGAAGAAGGCTTGATTGTGCGGTTTCCTGAAAAGCACTGCATTAAATCAAAAATATTGAAAAGAAACCCCTCTGGTAATTGGGCCTTTTGTTTGTTTAGAGAAAGCGTCTCCAGATATGGTTTGTTGGATCAGATAGCCTATACCAATTAAAAATCCACCAGTATATCGTTGTCAGATACTGGAATAAGATTCATGCACTATCAAATATGCGGTGTTCTAAAAGTCATTATCTGCTTCGTGTTTAGCATTTTAAGATGCATTATTAAGCACATGTGAATTAAATTATTTTATTATCATTAAGCGAAGAAGAAAAAAACGCCAGACGTTTTGACTTAAAGCTATCTGAACATATGCGATCAGTCTCTCGTGGATAGAATTTCAAATACATATGGTTGGAATCATAACTTGCCCTAAGGGCCTGTTTACCCTTTACATACAATTCCATAAAATTCTTAATCTTAGACAACTTATTACGACCGAAAAAAATTGACCAAATGAGATTTTGATCTTTTGACATATTTAATATTCTGATGTAAAAAATCTCCTTATTTTGTTGGTAAGGATCTACATTTGCTGAAATTGGCCTCGCACATGCCACCCCCCACAGTGAACAGGCATTTATGTTTAATGGAAAGCTAATTGTAGAAATGAAGTTTACTTTTGTTGCTGTCTCTCAAGCTGCTTTTGCTCTAAACAATTCAAAATGCACAAGAACAACATCCATTTGATTACTTGAATATATATACCAGGACCCGGTTGTTAACGAAGCCTGGATAGCGCTATCCAATGGATAAATCTTGTCTCGTTATTCAATTATTGCCCTTTTTGCTACAGTCATAAGAACCATACCCCGATATTTATTTAAATTAATGTTCTCATAACACTAACTTAATGAGAGTGTTGAGTTGGCTTTTCAAAATAATATTGATCGATAGCTCCCAGGGCTGCAGAATAATGTCTCTTCAACGATGACATAGCAGTTAAATGTTCCCTCCCCTTTGACCACTGTCAGTCCTAAATTGGGTCGGGTTGTGGGTTTAATAGACCCTTTTCAAGTTCCAAATGTGTTTCTTGATCGATTACAGACTCATTTACTCAGGCTTACCCTCGAGTTTGTGAAGAATATTCCATGCAGTCCAGGTCTGTCGAGTTTCAAAGTGTTCATATTGTTGAAGTTGTGCATTCTTTACTTCACCGTTGGTATTTGTGAATATTTAGACACTGATTCAATGCTAGGCCTGAGTAAATGAGTCTGTAATCAAGAAACACAGCGGTAATTTGGAACTAGAAAAGGGCCAATTCCTGCAGGCAATACACGTAAATAAAGTTTGAGTGTTGTTCTCTCCCTAGCTGCCAGGGTTTTTCTCATGAAGTACTCTGGTTTTTCTTTCTCTATAAACCTCAACATTTGAGTTTTGATAGTTTAGAGTATTATGTGAAAATAGTGGTAGTGAGTGTGGAGCGTATCAAATATATCATTTACATGAAAAATACCCTCTGGTTAGGGAGACTCGGCAACAGCTCCCCATTTCATGATGTAAAATACAGGTATATTTACTTCTTATTTATTTATTGAAGCATAGATATATGTCTATGTTTCAGTGCTAAAATGTCCCAATGTGAAAGGATCATCAGATTGTAAGATGTCTTGCATGAGAGATGAACACTGTGACAACTATGGTGATCTCCTCCGGTGTTGTCCAGTCGGACCTGGGCATGTTTGTAAAGCTGAGTGTAAAGAGCCAGTGTTAAGTCAAGGCGGAGGATCAGGTATGAATACTCAAGACTAAACAAACTAAACTAAACAATACTGTATTTAACTTTCAATCATTATACTCTAGTGTTAGACTTATATTATTACGTATTTTTATTATATTATAATCATTGATAAAATATCTAAATTCTCTGTTACTAGAAAGTCGATCTCCACATGGGAAGCTTATTTAACAATTAGCTCCGAGCCTGTTATGGGTTATAATTTGATTCACAGTCCATGAGGGCAAAAGGATTAATTGGTTTAGCCAAAACCTACTAATCCGTCAAACAAATAAATATTTTTTTCATGAAATTAGATTGGAAACATGCGTTAGCCACCATTGTTTTGGTTTTCAAAACCAGCATTTTTCACTACCAGTGGTCTATTAGAAGTAAACCACTCTAGTGGCCCATGCAGCCAATTGGAGCATAGCATTTTTGATAGACCATTATAGGTTTGAGTATTGAGGGAGGTGTGATATCTTACAAGTGTCAGAGCACAGGAAACAATTAAGATTATTCTGAACAAGAGAAGATAAAATCTGTATTTCCCACAACCATGTTATAAAACAGGCTTACCAGGCTCATGCTACATTTCCTATATTATCATTGGTCTTCTTAGGCTGCGTTCACATAATGTATGGCAGAGGAGGGGCAGGTGAAATTGAGGGGGGATGGGCAAATTTTTGTCAGAAAAATGGGGGGGATGCATGATCGTTGATAGAAGCTACAAGCCTTACTTCCGGGGGTTCGTTTTTTTTGCATGACTTTAAGGGGGGTGTTAAAAATGATTCTGGACATTTCAAATTTTCACCTGCCATTTGACATTTGTCATGAGGTATGTTTGTCTTAATTCCCCTTTAGTGAAAATTATTTACTCCAAGGCATGCAAGGTTGAGGACAGCCTGTCGCTACCATGACGCTTAGTATTCTGGCTAAAATTTACATTTTATTTTAATCTCTAATGCCAACCTAAGTCAGGAATATGTAAGAATGCTTATTATAATGATGACATCCTCACCTTAGATGTTACCATATTATTTTTGTTACTTCCAGGAATATGTTATGATTTCAAGTTAGACAGGCAATATGTGTCTGGTGATTTGTTTGTAAGGGATGGTGTTTGTTGTCGATGTGAGAGAGATGGAAGAGCTAACTGTACTGCTATTGGCTCTTGTAATCAAGGTAGGTATCTTGTTTTTATGATATATGAGTAGCCAGACATTAATGGGTTTACAAGTTGGTTAAAGATGCCTGTTGTGTGGGGGGTCATAAGGTCAAATTATTGGGACAAAATTCAGGATTGAAGTTGCTGTATTTGGTCTAAGAATATCTGCAAATGGTTAGACCTTTGCTATGGCTTAAGGCATGGACAACAAATAATTGCATCGTGTGTCATGGCTCACAACATCAATAATTGATTTATTGCATGCAACATTGCTTGCAATGTTGAACAGTGTGTCCATAGCTTAACCAAGGGTGCTCAGACCCTTGGCTTAACAATACCGTGTCACTCAGGTGGTCCTGGCTCATTACGAGACAACAAATGCAGAGGACCACAAATTTGTTCGTTTTCAATCATAATCCCAGGGGAGTGAAATAACAAAAGACATGTTAGATGACATAACAAAATAATTCATTGACAAGTCTTTTGTTAAATTCACCCAAGATGGCAGTCATGACATCATGTGCAAACAAAGAATACCTAGTTTTGACAGTTGACAAGTGGCACCCTCTCAAAGATAAACACGATTATCACAGGACTTACTTTATTTTAATAAAGCATGTCATCATCTTAAGTAATTTTCCATTTCATTGTATTTTTTACTAGGTTGTTATTATGGGTCTACTTACTATAATGATGGTGTAGCTATTTCAAGAAGTTCTTGTCGGAACTGGTAATTATCGGCTTAACATTGGAATGATGTTATTTCCATGATTTAAGACACTAGCCATCATTGGATGGTGATTATATTGTGTATTTCCAAAAATTATCCATACCCCCCACCCCCACCCCCACCCCCCATGGAGGAATTTTTTAAGACACCCCCTACCCCCCAGAAATTCATATAAATTCTCTAATTTTTGTTCTTAACCCCCCTACTCTTTGGAAATTCCAAATTCCTCTGTGGGGTGGGTATGGATGATTTCTGGAACTACACATTACTGGTATATGCCTTATTCATATGATAAAAATCAAAAATATCTTGAACTGAAGCAATTCCATGGATTGATATAACCTCAAACATAGCTTCAGTGTATTATTCTATATCATATGAGAAAACCAAACTGGCTTCTGGTTAATCCCTACTGCCTTGCAGTACATAGCAAGAGTATTGATAAAAGCGCATCATTTTTTTTCTTTCTTTTTTTGCAGTACATGTGAAAATGGTACTGTGTTTTGTAAATGGAATACTAACTGCACACAAGGTAAGCTTGGTAGTCTTACTATCTGTCAAAATAATGAATGAAATTATCCAGACCACCTCCCCTTCCCCCCTCCCCCCCAGAAATTCCAATTTTCTTCCATGCAAATGTTTTAATTTTTTTTTCTCTGACGCCCACCTCAGAAATTCCTAATTCCTCCTATTTCTAACTGTAAAGCAATTTATGTATGTATTTTTAAGTTGGTCTAATAAATCTTATATCTGGTATGTAAATAATTTGTATGACAGAGAAGTGCAAATACAAAGGAAAAGTCTATACCTTGGAACATATTATCAGATTGGATAACGGATGTAAAGAATGGTAGGTTGAATATGTGGTAATAAACTGTAATTTCCTCTATCAAAACCCCTGGGGTCTTGGGGGATTTTAAGCGGTGAGCAAATTATTAGAAGACAGGGGCTAAATAAATTTTCCTGATCTTTGGAAATTCATAATTTATTTTTTCATAGTCTGGACAGGTGAAATGACTATCCAAGGTCTACCAAGGGAAAAGGACAACAATCTCTCTAAGGGGACCGGAGCTTATTAGAGGATGGGAGCTTATTTAGTTTTTGCCCAATATAATGGAGGCATATTAAAAGGGGGGCTTAAACAAGAGGCTGGGGGCTTAATAGAGGAAATACTAACAGTAAATGTTCCTTCTGTTCTTATTAAAATATAAACATGCACAAAATATTTAATTTGTTCCTTTTACACAATACATACCAGCCCTGCATGAGGGATGAGGGGGGGCAGACTTTTCTCTAGCACTCTACATTACACAAGGATGGCAGAGCACATTATGATGTGGGGAGGGGGAGGGCTAGAATCCTTTTTTGGTGCAGAACTCAACCTAATATTAAAACAGTAATGATGAAAAGGTAAATCATACACCGTGAAAAGATGAAAAAACTGACGTTTCGGACGCTAGTCCTTCGTCGGAGTAAAAGACTCTTACTCTTTTACTCCGACGAAGGACTAGCGTCCGAAACTTCAGTAAGTTTTTTCATCTTTTCAAGGTGTATAATTTACCTTTTCATCATTACTGTTTCATTAGAAACACCGACGCAGCTCGCACTAGTTTTTAGCTAGTTATATCTTTTAATATTAAAAGACAATATGAGATTTCATTCTTGTAAAGAGTCCACCATTTCATGGATTATAAAACCACTCTATTTCTGGTTATTATATCCGTCCAGTACTAGGTATCTCCTCTGGTAGCAAACTAATGTGATGTCATTGTTTTTGTTTTCAGCGTTTGCCAGTACAGAGGCTGGAGTTGTACTGCAATTACTTGCAATGCTGGTAAGCAACAACTCTTCAGATACATATTTTTCATGGTAGGAGGATTTCTTTGCAGTAATTTAACAGCAGGGACTTCCTAAACAGCCAAATACCCTTATGTCCCTCTAACTTAAATGTCATACCTTGCCGGATTACCCTTACACGGCATCTGCTGTTGTTGGGTTTTTACCTCGGATTGAACCAGATTCTGAACAGAAAGACACCAAACACAATATGGCTCTTCAAAGTAACACGCTCTTTAAATGGTGCTCTCTCTCTCTCAAACTCTATACAGGGATCCCATACAACTGCATTCCATGGCACAGGTATCCCAGACACTACTACAGTGCTGTAACCTAGTTAGACAAGATTAGACACAGAACCAATTAAAATGTAGAACGAAAACATTCTAACTTTATTAAGTGGGGCCATAATCAGAAACCTTGACTTCATGAGAATAGTAATCTGAAGTTATGTGTAAACAACTAGATAGCCATCATCATTTTCTCGTGGGAATGAAAAGATATGCTGAAAGGCTATCGTTTTCTGCTGCTTTCTGATTGGCTCCACTACCTAAAGTTGGAATGCATTGTTTATATTATACAATTTGATTGGTTCTCGCTGTCTAAAGTGGCCCCTGAGTTACAGTAGTCACACTGTAACAGTTGAGTTTTCTTTCCAAATGTTGTGTTATTTGGAGACAAATATATTTTTCTTCTTTTTGCAGCACGCTCCTCATCCACTAGTGTTGGAATATCACGTGTGAAGGCTTGTGTTTTTGCCATTTTAATAGTGAATATGCAGTATTTGTTACAAAGTTAGCAATGATACTCCTGTATCAATTTATATTATTTAGAAGTGTACATAGAAAGGTGAGATAATAATACATAATTTACATTAGTTTAATAGATAAATTCATTAGTTATTTGTCATAATTAAGATGGTTCCATTGTTTTGTTAAGGCTGATCTTTATTCTTTGGGTGCAATTGTTATGTTATATCCACCATGTTGGTTGATGATAACAAAAGCATTCCTCACATGTACTTCTCTTGTTAGATCAACCAACATGGCGGCTGTTTCATTGTTATTTATATAACCCCAAGAATTTACGTTTGATTAATTTTAAAAATCATCCTGCATGGGTCCTGCACATACATGTTCGTCTTATCCGCAGCAGTTCCTTACAGAAAACTATAAATGTGGTCACTCCCAGAACTATTTAGCACAGTTTCATATGAAGCTTGTTGTGGCAATTGCAGTACTGAAAGCTTTCTATATTAATATTCCTTTGGTCTGGTCATCTTCTAGCGGCTCACCCCCGCTGAGGTCTGTGTTCAAAGTTTCCCTCATTGTAAATTTCGTTTCTGCTCTATTTTAAATGAACAGTCGTAATTTACATATATATAAATATAATATATATACACTCGATTGCAGAAACGTTGTAGTCATTTATACATTTATACAAATATCTAATGAGATGCATAATGCAAAATCACCATTTTCAGCGCTTAAAATCAAATGATTTATAATCTGTACAATCTAATAGACAAGAAAAAATATTTCGACAGTCATTGAATGAAACAAACAAACAATAAATAAAGCGATTTTTCTGTTTTGCATATCATTAAATATACTGAATAAATTAGATATATGTATAAATGTATACAACAACGTTTCTGCAATTGAGTGTGTGTATATATATATATAGCATGAAAGGGACTGATGCGAATAGGATATATCGTTTACATTAGAAGAAATAGGACTTGTTCAAGAATCTTTACATCAGTGATGGTGAAGAGTTTATACCCTGGCCTATGTTGCCACATTAGTGTCAATAGTGTTAAGCTATGAAAGTTTTCTCATCCAATATTTTACATGGAAGGGTTTCGTTCAATGTTGTTATACTTTGTAATAATACCTTGGGTATCTTTTATACAATTCCATCGTTATTAAACATTAAAACCACAACTATGTACATATGTCCTTTTTAGTAAATAAAAAAAACACGAAATTATGAATTTTGACATTGTTTGATGGATATTATGTTTGAGCGTTTGCACTCTATAAAGTTATGTAACATCATATTAGAATTTCAACATTTTTTATTTTATTCCCGAGAATTAATAATATTCCTAAAGATATTTACACTTTAAATATTCTTCATAATCACACATTAGTGTTTAACAAAATAAATTAAGAAGTAAATATAATAAAATATTGACTTGCAGTACTTATTTTACTGTAATAGACATAAAGTCCTATCAGAATACCTATGTCTTCTTACCGACCACTTACTGTACGGTGCAGAATGTTCACTATTACCCTTCTAGTGACATCTACATTCGTTATATTCTCATTATTACATGAAGCATCATAATTGTTACTGTCACATGTACACTTAAAAATATAAAATGATGATGCATTCAATCATTTTATAAATTATAGAGTGCAAACAATCCGTGAAACACTAATTACTAAATAATAGTACTAATTAAACAATAGAAAACAATGGAATTTGCATGAAATTGTGCTATTTAGTATTACTAAAGTTTCGCGGTTATATTGTTTGCACTCTAATCCGTGAAACACTATTTACTAAATAGTACAAATAGTGCTAATTAAACAATAGAAAACAATGGAATTTGCATAAAATTGTGCTATTTAGTATTACTAAAGTTTCACGGTTATATTGTTTGCACTTTACTTCTTTTTTTGATTTAAATTAATTCATTAATGTCGGTCAAAGATCTAAAATCTGAGACCCAGTAGCACCCTTCAAATAATTATAATGTATTCACAACCGAGCAACATAGTGTCCTTGAATATGAAGCATGACCTTTCAGTTAGAAAGGAGGTGTTTCATATTTCAGCCAGAAACCAAAAAAGGTACAAAAAATATGTTTAGTCTCAGATTGCTCATTTCACATCTTCGACTGACATCAATTTTTGAAATATTAGGTGCATATGCATGCATTGATGCATGATATTTTGTACTATAAGTACTAACTGTAGATTGCCTCATCATGTCATTCTACATTATTATGGACACATACATTATGTACGAGTGTCTGGCATGGCTACATCCTTACAGCAGACTCTTGGTACTGTCCACGTATAGCAAGTATAATCTTGAGTGGATGTGTATAGTGTGGCAGACATTTTTTCTGGATGGCTTTAGTTAGTTGGATGGAGTAGCAGCTGAGATATTCTCTTATTATGTAATAGAGATCAGTCTAAAGAGAGGAATACCACATTATTAGGACTGATAATCCTATACCTGACAGTGTTGATAAAAACAATAATCTAGTGATACATCAGTATACTAACCTCAGATCTTGTAATTACTATTCTCAACACTTTTTTGGACCGACTATTTTTCTCCAATGCCTTGTTTAATTCTTTGCAAAAAAATGCTGGTGGACTAATGGTACAGGCGACTATGAACAGAATGCAAATGCAGATGAATATAATATAGATGTTATTTACTGGACAGAAGGTTGATACAAAAGGGAAAACTGTGCCCGAGGTGTTGCCCAAGGTTATAAAGCCATCAAGCAGAGGTCCATTCTCAAGGAAATGGTGCAGTTTATCTCTATCTGGACCAACTTTAGGCTGGTAATTTCCCATTTACTTTTTATCTTATTCTGCATTTATTTTATTTTATTTTATTTTATTTATTTATTTTTTTATTATTATTTTTTATTTATTTATTTATTTTTTTCCTTGCTTTTTTTGTTTGTTTGTTGTTTTGTTTAGCAAATGTTATCACAGGATACCGGACCATAATGAGAGATAGAAAATACTGCCTGCTCGCCCAGGATCAGGACGCACGATCCCTGGATCCACCCTTGAAAATTAAGAAAAATTACTTACCATATGCTTTAAGCGCACGTCTGAAATCCAATGACTTTCCTTTGTACTGATTATCAATGTAAACATCAATAGGCTTCATATATAGGGTTTCCAGTTCTTCAAAAGTTGCTTTCAGTTGATTTCTTCCCAAAGGTTCACACAAAAGTTCAACAAGATCTCCATAACTGTGTAGGCGAATTGCCCTTTCTTGAGCTGCTGTACGGTCTGCTTTTGATCTCACTCCCTCTGTGTTTATGGTACAGAACTTGATCAAGAGTTCTCTCAAGTCTTGATCCTGAATACTAAGAAGGTCATTTTCTAGTGAACAAGTAAATTCTGCAAGAAACAGAGTGGTTGTATCAGAAGGCAGCATTTCCATGAATAACTATGTAAACTTTGTTGATCGGGCTCTTAAGCAGGGCTTTCCTACTAACCCCAAATCCTGTTCTTAGGCTAGTATAAATAACTATCAATGATACATAATTTAGTATAATTTATTTATATAATATATAATAATTTAGTTGCTTACATAATACAGTAAAACCTAACCTTCTTGGTATGCCTCTCTTATCATTTCAATGGCAAGAGTTTTCCTTGAACAGATAATCTCAATAAGAGTATCATTTTCATGATCTTCAATTGCCTGATGTAGAGACTTTGCATCATATACTTCAGGTCTGTATAGTAAAGCTGTTGCTGCTTCCTGATATCCCAAGCTCAATTCACTTTCCAAAACACTTATTAAATCCTGAAAAGATATTAAAATAGTTTTATAAGCCCTATGCATTTCATAATAGTAGCTTAGGACTGTCGCCTCATTGATTTCTGCTTTCCATTCAGGGACTAGCACTGTAGAGGGGAAAAGCTCCAAGGGTTTAGGTCTTCTTTTATTATTTAAAAATTGTAACATGACATATGCAATGACAACAAGTGCTTTACCCAACCATCCCCCCACCCTATCTTCCTCACAAACCAAAAATGCACTGCCATCCCTGCCAACCTATACAATAGGCCTTTTCTGAGTTCGATAATCAGAATGCATCGTGGTCTAGATTCAGTATAAGCAACACCATATGAGGCATGATGTTTGTACCGAAGCTAGACCACAATGTGCCATATTTGCTCTCAAAAAAGGTCTGATTACTACATGGAAGGGGCTTTGACAGGGGTCCAAATAGACATGGTTACCTTTCCGTATGTCTTCTTGTAAGCCAGTATAATTCTTTGTCTTTCGGAGCATTTGAAAGTGGCAAGAATTTGTATGACTGCATTCTCATCTGTTCCAATAGCGTTGACAATCTTATGAAGGCGAGCTGATTCAAGGTCCCAGTTAAGAATCGTTTGCTTGCGATGTGAGCGCTAGAATGGAATCAAAGAATCAATTGGTCAACCTTGGCCCCACCTTTTGGAATCAAAGATGTGTTCACCATTTTCCATACATCGGTTCACTGSTYAAACACAAAGCATTCYGTCAAGGTTGCCAGGTTCAATTTTGAATAATCCTTTGAAAGTACCTTGGCGTCTCGCTTGAGCGCTTTGTGTTTTACCAGTGAACCAATGTATGGAAAATGGTGAATTATAGTCACATATTTTTACATTTATATCTTAATGAAGGATTCTTCTCTTATTTTGTAAAGAAAAATGCTTTATTTAATATCATAAGCTTTAATAACTGATTTTCATCTACAGTTTGTATGGTATCGTAGCCATCTTAAATTCCTGTAAGTCTGATTGAAAAAAGTTACATACAATTTGTCCCTAGTAAATAAAACAAAGAAAAAATTATATGTTAGATTACATAATTATTGTATTCGAAATGAATTTTCTCCGGTAAATCAAAACTGTAAATCAATTAAAAGCAAAACATTAGTGAAAAATCAATGTAATACTTAACAGGATGGCTTAAAAATATTTTTGCTGGAGGCAGCTTATACAGATTTTCAATATTTAGGAAGACGTGCAACAAAGCAAAGAAACGAGTTCGTACAAAACGATATATGACAAGTTATCAGCTCACTTAAGGAAAGAAAGCTAGCAACCAAAAAACCAGAAAACTCTTAATAAATGAAGTAAAATAGCAAGTAAAAGCAATTATAACTTGAACTCGTAAATGTTCATAAAAATTTACTTTCTTCAAATTATCAAGTGCTTAATATAATAACAATGGGGTCGTTTGCCGATGGTTCGAATTTTTTTGCGGAAGCCGCTTCAAGTGTAAAAAGTAATTTATAAGACAGATCGCAACTTACAAACTTTTTTAGCAAGTTCAAAAGAAGAAATGATCAAATGTCTAGCAGTTTTAAAAGTTCTAAAGCCAAGTAATTACATTTTAAGGCTATCACCTACTGTCAATACGATCAATGATAAGTCAACTTACAGTAACGAAAACTTCTCTTTGGATTGATTCACTGCACCCCATTCGATGAACTGTTCTTATGTCGTATTGTTATGAAAGTATGACAATATTGAACACAGCATGAAGTTAGTAACGCACAATTACAATAAGAGAGTATTTTTCGTAATCTTTCTTGTTCGGTGTATCAACAGGTCGATAAGTAAAAGGCATGATAAATTAGCATATTCAAAACCTTTTGACAGTAAGTAAACATCTCAACCTATCAACGCTCGTGAATACACCCAAGGTGTTTTTGAATACGTAAGTAAATGAACGGAAAGTACACACGGAAACAATAATGGATGAAAGAGCATAATGTTTTATGGTGATTACAATCTTGATTTACGTAAATACCTTTATCTTTTTGTCAATCTCTGGGTCGCCTAGCAATAACAGCGCCCACATAGAAACTGTAACTTCCGGTTTACATAGAAAGTTTGGACGGCCGATGGCTTAGTGTACTTACTTAAAGTAACGCCATTTTACAAAACCAAAATGCCTTTTTCTTAGCCTATGAGCGCTTTTTCGTTTATCTTCGTTTCTTCGACAACTTTGAATGTAACAGGAAGTAGAAAAGGTAAAACCAAAAGCATAAGTATAAACGATAAGGAGATCACGTGAATGCAGTCACGTGTCAAAACATGGCGGGCAAATAGTTGGATGTTGAGCAGCGGAAGAAGAAGGAACTCTTCATGTGATGGCATCCCGGGCTAAGGTTTGTCTTGAATTAGTGTATGGATATTGATGGTACTGGGTGTTCTTGCATAGTTCTTGTTATTTGGATTCATTTGGTTTACGATACGTGTTATGTTTCAGGGATTTTCATTCAAAGAACTTTCAATAAAGTGAGTACAAAGTGTCCTGCCTTTACTCTAATATTTTATCTTTCTTTCTCACTCCAGCCACTCTCGCTAACACCAAAGTATTTTTGGGCTATTTCTATTGTGGTAATTTAAATCGAAATAAGAGTCGAAAACACATGAGAGTCCGTGGTAGTGGTAATATAAATTTTCTGCTCATGATTTGATAAAGTCCCAAATGCTAGATGATTCACACACCACATGATAAAGCTATTGTTATTGATTGATTGATTGATTGATTGACTGTTTACAGTGATTATACAGATTATGATGAAGAGGACACGAAAAAGATACCCAAAAGAAATCCATTTGACTTTGGAGATGATGACGTAACATTTGAATCTGCTGAGTTTGTGAGTCAGTCTCAAGTGAAAGATTTCTTTAATGTATCTCGCGGGATAACATTTGATGATGATGACAATGATAGTGATGTCTCACTTGGACAACCATGGGGTGGACCACAGTTCAGTATTGGTAATGGTAGTAACTATATTTGTCCTATTTTTAAGGAATATAAAATGCACATGCAATATTGTCTTTGTACTGTGATATAAACACGCTGGGAGCTGTAGAGCACGAAAGGAGCAAGCTTAGGAACACGAGGCATAGTCAAGCGTATCTCTTGCTTCTCAAGTGCTATGCAGATCCCAGAATGCTTATATCACAGTACAGAAACATAAACAGGCGTTTTATATTGCTTTTATAAAATATTAATAAAAGACTTTATGTTTCTCTATGTCCTTCAATATAAACATGGTAGCCAACCAAACAGTGCACACATTATATCGCAAATATTTTATAATTAAGAAATATAAAACCTGTGCGCATGTCTATGTACTGTGATATAAACATGCTGGGAGTTTATATCTCAGAGCTGTATAGCATGAGAAAAGCAATACTAGGAACTTGAGGCATAGCCAAGTAGTTTTATTAAGTGCTCTACAATATCACACAATACAAAGACATAAGCAGCTGTTTTATATTCCCAGCCAGTGAGTCAGCATGCACATTATATTTTATCCAGCACGCACGTTATATTTTTGATATTTCATAAATGTGTATACTTTTCGTACGGTTCCTGGGATCCCTCAATGGAAAACATGTTGAAAATTCTTATTTTTCCACCAACTCCTGGAAAACACATGAAATGTGCCCGTAAATGAGATGTGGCATGGAGTGGAGGAATTAGGGGGGATGGAATTGATGGCATTCGATTAATAGCAGTATTTGCTTTTCTTACAAACTGTAATTAATTAACACAATTAATTATCACACAGGATTTGGCATATTTCCATACCCTAGAAACCCCCTGGATTTTTGGGGTATGAATAATTCTCGGTAGCACAACCCTAAAGGTACACTCAATTGAAGAATCGTTGTTGGGTTCAGAAACTTAGAACATAAAAGCTGAGACCAAAATGGTACACGGGAAATGACATAATTATATTATAATTTATTCATTTGCACCATCCATGCAGTCGGTTTAGAATGCCAAACGCGTATTAAAAACAGTTGATAATACCACAGGTCGACCGTCACAGCATGCATCTAATTAACATACTTCCCATGTGAGATTTCGGTCTCAGCTTCTATGTCCTATGTCTCTGAACCCAACAACGATTCTTCAATTGAGTGTATACATGCATATTGAAATTTGAATCAGTAGTTACTCTGTGATAGAGTTTTTCTAAGAAAAATGATTGATTGATGGATTTGCATTAGAATTACATCTCAAACTGATTTATTCCAACCTTTATTGAATAACAGAAAAGTCTGATCCTGCCAAGTCTGCAAGGTTTAGATCTGCAAGCTCAGCATCATCTCAGTCTTCTGCTTCATCTCTGCCAGGTATTCAACTGCAATGTAGTTCCAGAAATTAACATCTATACCCACCCCCACAGTTGAATTTGAAATTTGTGAAGGGTGGGGGCCAGAGAAACAACAAAAATTACAGTGTTTGTATGGAAGAATATTGGAATTTCTGGGGGTAGGGGCAGGGGTCTCAAAAGAAATTCCTCCATGAGGAGGAAATGGGTAATTTCTGGAACTACCATATACAATATGATTACAGAACCATATATATATACTGTGCTGACAAAAATACTGTTTTTTAGTAAGGTTGGCATAGCAGTATTGCACTTGCCCTGACTTTGATCAAGCCAGTGGTTGTTTCTAGGTAATAATAGACCCTTCGTACTTAGTCCTGAGAGGAATTATTGTAGGGGACAAAACAATGGATGTTTTTTTCATAAGAAAAGACGGCCTATGGTTCTGTCTCCCCAATAATTCCTCTAGGAAATCAATGCAAGGATTCTATAAATTTGAGGGTTTTTATTTTCTGTAGTTCAAAACGACCCTGGTTCATTTGCAAGCGTATCTTCACAGCGATCAAGTACTACAGCAGCTAAAAAAGTCACTTCTGGTGGTTCATTGCCAAATTCTAAAACCTTGTCATCATCATCAAAACCCTCCAAATCTACATCCCACACTGTATCAGCTGCAGCTGTCAGGGGAAAAACAGGAACATCTACAACTAATATAACTAAAACTACAACTACAACTACAAAGTCTGCTTTGAATGCAGTCTCAAGTTCTATATCAGATGGTAAATGAAAAACGTCATACATGCAATGTGTAGTATCAGATAATTATCCATACCCACCCCACAGAGGAATTTGGAATTTCTGAAGGGTGGGGGGGGGGGCTCAGAGAAAGAACCAAAATTATAGAGTTTGTATGGAAGAAAATTGGAATTTCCAGGGGTATGGGGGGGGGTAGTGTCTTTAAAAAATTCCTCCTTGGGGGGGTATGGATAATTTTTGGAACTACACAATATATTTTCCAAATTAGTTCAAGTGACAATTAAGCAATGAATTCAAGTAGAGAATGGACTTCAAGTCTGTTGTTGTGAAACGCATGGCATGAAGGAATTTTGCATTCAAGATAATATTGTAATTAATTATGGTAATGATAAACTTGGTTGAATGTAGAATAAAATTTGGCAATAATCTTGTAACAAAGTGAACCAGGGCTAATATTTTTGCTTCAAACCAAAGTCAAACCTCAACTTGGAGCCATTGTGTCCATGGTAACTTTTGTTTTCTGCTTAGAAATGAGTCCAATTAACATAGAAATATACATGCACCTTTCGTCTCTAAGCTCTCTGGTTCAATTGATGGGTTGCAAGCATTCCCAGGAGAGTCAAAATACAAAAAAAAATTTTCGCCATTGTGGTGTCATTAACATTGGAAGATAATGAGAAATCTTTTGTTAAATGGCACCAACATTTCGGCAATGAAGCAACATGCAATCAAAGAATTCATGGAGCAAATTGATGTGAGTTAAGTTAACCATTTGTTGGTTCTCTTCCTTGATTTGAGGGTTTTTCTCCAGGTTCTCTGATTATCCTCCCTCAAAGAAACTTAAACATGCTAGATTACAATTCTATATGCGAGCTACTAAATAGTTACTGTGCCCTGACTAAGATCAGCCAAGGGGCTGTTTCACACATCAATCAAATAGAGGGAACAAATAAATGGGTTGTGGGCATCATAACTGTATGTTGTAGTAGGCACTTTCAGGTATCTAGCATGATCTATGATAAGTTTTGTAGTGTGCTTGAAACCGTGTGCTTGATTTACGTTATGTTTTGTTCATTCAGTCGTAGCCAGTACACCGCAAGTATCTGTTAATGAGTACTACAGACTTCAAACTGAAGTTGGACAACTTAGAAGAGACTTGCAAGTGAGATTATAATCAATATTTTAATCATTAGTTGATTTGATATTTTAGTTTTAGTTTATTTCAATATTATTTACTTTGTATAAATGATGATAAAAAGGTAAATTATACACCATGAAAAGTCAGTCAGTTTTTTCACCTTTTCATGGTGTATAATTTACCTTTTTATCATTACTGTTTCATTATAAACACCGACGCAGCCCACACTAGTTTTTAGTTAGTTATCTCTTCTAAGTTATCAATAATCTTATAATTTGCTGTTCAACAACTTCTACTAGATTGTAAACGCTTTTGTCTGTCCTGCATTATTGTCTTACTTATCTGCTTTTTTTACTTAATCCATTTCTTCATGTATTAGATATTAGATATTCTTTGTCCTACGCATGTAATTATTAATACTTTTTGTAAGTAGGCATATCAGTAGACCCCCTCAATGGCCTTCTGCTCTTGGGGTTAACATGAGAATAAATATTTTTTGAATAATAATAAAATAATCCATTATTTTCAGGCTGCCAAGCAGAGTAGACTTAAACCACTTCCAGTTACAGAGTCAGTCACAAGAATAATTCGTGGTCAGGTAACATTATCGAATATTTTATCTCAACTTTCCTTGCTATTCACTCTCTATAAGAAGAGTTATTCAGAGCCTTTTGTGTACAAACTCAAGGTGATGGTACAGGTTCTTTTTGATTCAAAGTTGGGCGGCAACTTCAGCCACCCAAGTTCATTTCAAAGTCATTTGCTGTGGTCACCTGGGTAGGGGGGGGAGGAGGGGGATATTTAAAGAAAAAACACAGATTTCAGCTTGGCATAAAGTTTTATAAACATCACAAATGCAAACTTGATGCATTAAACAATGGAACAAATTTATAAACACCACCATTCTATAAACGATACTGACTCAGTCTGTCATCAAGAAAAGAACATATTGTCTTTAATTCAGTTTACTTGGTATTCACGTTTGATTTCAGCTCAATGACTTACAACACAATAAGCAATAAACCACCTGTACGCATTACGACTCGCAAATACTCCACTTTCCAAGAGAAACACTTAGTGAATAGATTATTACTAATGCTATATTTAAAATAATGATGATAATGATAATAATAATACTGCTATTTTCAGTTGAGCTGGCCGCTGGCCAAATTTTACTTGATCGAGACAAGTTCGAAGTCATTAAATCAGATGCCCCTAAACAGTGTTTTGATAGGAACATGAACTTGTTTTTCTTGACGTGCAAACTTGCCTTGTTATCATGCTTTTAAGCAAGAGCGGGAGAACTTATGAGCGTGGAAAAGCTCTAAGCAATGACAATCATAGATGAAATTGATAAAATGTGGCTTGACAAGTCATAAAGTCATGCGTCTCAAAACAATGTTTGGGGGGGCGTAACAGTCAACTTCAAACTTTACTCAATCCAATCAAAAACTGAAACTAGCAGTAACAATGTTTATACAAGAAGCTCTCATCACCAAGGTGTTTTTCAGAGAGGTCCTGAGATCTTAATTGTCAGCAAACAATTGGTTTTATTAATTCAGGTCATGTAATTTTTGATTCTCTAGCCATACTCCCTTGAATTACACAAATCTTTAAAAGACAAGGTTAATCTGTTGGACTGTGCTATCAAGATGCATGATGGCAATGCTATAATAGCTGTAAGTGATACATCTGACATATATTATTATAATTATGCATACTTGGTGGTAGTTATTGCTCATATCATTCTTTTTTTGTTGAGATCCCTTTATTTCAAAATTCATTATCTTCCAAGTTTTCTACAGATTATTCTCTTGATCCGCCTATGCTTGACTCAATTCACTCTGCTGTGTCATGCCTATTCACCATTTACCAGTCATTTAATGAATCACCTCACTTTTCTGTGTTATCAGTGGCTAATTTCATGTGATTAACCTCTGCAGGTTATTTTATTTCTCAAAAAGACAGTTAAGAAAGGTATTAGTAGTGAAATTGTGTTAACTTGGAAATTTTATCATGCAAGTTTACACACTTTACTTGGGTTGGAAAGGGATTCCTAAATCCTCAATGGCACCTGCAACACAATCATTGCGACCCTAATTTAAACAGTTATGAGTAGTTCACATATTACCAGTAAAAGAGTTCCAGCGGGATTTTTTTTCACAGATTGGAAAAACTCCCTCTGACACCCAGGGTATGGTTCACCCAACCCAAACTTAAAAAATAGTTCCTATCTGTGACCATTGAGGTATATAAGTGTGACTGTTCTTTCTCACATTCCAGAAATATTTTGTAATCAATTAATTCGACAACCAAAAGCATTACATCATTACTGCAAATTCCTACGTCAGAATTCTGACCTTGAAGAATTGGTACAACTTTACCGGTGAGTGTCATAAAAGTGCTGCAGAAATTGATCCCACCTTTTTAGTTAATATATTTGCAAGGTAGCCTAAGATTATAATCTTTTATGTATTTGTTATCAAAGCAGGTTAATTATTTTGGGAGCTTTTGCAGATGTGGACCTGCTTTCACTCACACTCACTACCACTTCATTTACTATTTTATGCACACAGCACTCAACTTATATGTTGGACTCACAGCAGTGAAAGACAGTGCATTAGCAGCAGACACCACACATGCCACCACATAAGATACCTCAGTATCATATTGACCTCAGCCAATAGACCCCTTGCATTGATTTCCTAGAGGAATTGTTCTGTGTGACAAAACAATGGGCTGTCTTTTCTAAGTGCAAAAAAAATCCATTGTTTTGTCCCCCAGAACAATTCCTCGAGGGACTTGGTGCATGGGGTCTATCAAATTGTTTTATTCCCTTAAGTAGTTGTTTATAATAACATCAATTGAAAGTTGTTTGTCAGATATATTATCAGATCTTGGCTTCCTTGTTTGCTCCTGTTTGGCTTAGCTGGAATCCTTTGTTTTCATTAATATTCTCTATTATGATTGGTTAACTATGGCAAAATGGTTATTAATACACCTCTTTAGCTTGGGCGTAGACCATGTGTCATTCCCTAGAGCATTATTTCTTTGTTTAACGGTCGTGCATGAGGAGACGCATGAATATGGATACAACTCAAACAAAGAATCTTATTCTCAAGGGAATGAATCAAGTCTAAAATGGGAAAACGTTACGCCCAAGCTAAAGACATCTTTTTGAAGTGTCTGCATTGTAAATTAATCAATTTTTGTTTTTTTTTGTTTTTAGGAGACTTGGAAAGCATGAAGATGCCATTGTAAGTGTACTAACAACTAGAGTAGAGCAGATATAGAGCAGTATTTGTATGTGGGAAGCTTGCAGCATGAATGCTGTCGTGACATGGCAGTTATGCATGTGCCAGACCAATCACATTTTGTGAGAATTTACTCTCTATCCAATCAAATACCCTAAACACTGCCTGTACATGGCATGGGCACTGTGCCTAAGTATGCCAGATCAGTCGTACTGTATTGCATGAGGAAAAAAATTAGCCAATCAAAATTCTAAAAAACATCAAGTTGCAGCAAAGGCATGCATATAATATGGAAAGCTTTTTACAGTGATATAATGCTGTATGTAACTAAGCTTCAGCTGGGTTGTGCAGGAGGTCATGGCTTAAGCCTTGGCTGGACCAACACTCAGGGTCTTAGATAACTGCATGAGGAGAAGGTGCTGCCTTTGTAATTACATCTGCAAATGGTTAGACCTTCATGTGGCTAGGATGACCACCTTGATGGCGGTCCTGTCCCTAATCAACTACAGATATTAAAAGAGGACCACAGGTTTATCAGTTGAATTACTATCAAGTGTCTTCCTCAACAAATTTCATTCATCCATCCATCCATCCATCTATCCATCCATTCATCCCTCCATTCATTCATTCATTTATTCATTTATTCTTTTCTTATCTTGCTTGCCTTCTGCAGATGGTAAAGTTCAATAATGCCGTCAAGATGCACAACCCAAGCAATCGTCTTTTTACCCTAAAAGAAATATTAAAGTATGGATTAGACTGCAATGAGGACACTTGAACCGTGAACATTTTTTTCCCTTTAGGTTATTATTCCCTGAAATTTCTACTGTTCCAAACCCTCTAAAATGAAGCAGAATTCAAATACACTGAGCAATCAAAATAAAATTTACTTCTTATCAATTAGTTCATGGGATGATTTACAATATGTATTTTTTAAAAGAGACAAAAAATTTGACATGTTCATGGTTGGAGTTTCTCGCTGTAATATTCTAAAATTTTCCATTTAAACATGCATAAGAACATTATTTATTTATTGATTCATATTCTACAGGAATGATGTGCCAGCCTATCCTATATCAGCAGACTGTGTGACTACCATACAGGAATATATCAAACTATTGAATATGCAAATAGATCTCGAGGTAATAAGAAAATACACCTCTGGGCTGATCTAAATCAGGGCATGGTTCAAGGGCGGATCCAGCCAAAATTTTAAGGGGGACTGATTGAGTTTAGGGGGGCTAATTGAGTTTCTTCCGTCAACACAACGGAATACAACAGAAAAAAGCATCTTATTCTTCAGTTTTGTTTTGTTTTGTTTTCTGCTGAAGGGGGGGGGGGCTTCAGGCTGCCTTTGTTTCCCCCCCCCCCCCCCCCCCCCCCCCCCCCCCGGATCTGCCCTTGTGGTTATCTCACAGACTCAACCCTAAAACAACCTCTGGGCTGATCTTAGTCAGGGCACAGCTAACTTACAGATTAATTTGAATTTAGCACACTGGGTTTTGCATAGTGAGCATAGTGAGCAACTGGAAAATGCAGAGAAAAACCCTCAATTAAAATCAAGGGAGAGAACCAACAAACCTTATTCATGCTAAGACAAGAATAAAACCTGTGACCCCAGAAGGGTAGAGGAGAGAAACATGTGTACTACCATGATTCCCACCTTGATATTATGACTATGGATAGATAGAAAGATAACTTTATATTACTTTAATGAGCTGAAGACTCATTTTGATACAAATTTAAGGATTTTTATTCATTTAAATACAACTTATATTGATTTTGTAGGCTTCAGATACAAGAGCAGAGCAAGAAGGGAGTAATATCACAATGACTACTATTCCTCGACAAGCAACATTACCATTATTACCAGTTATAACTACTTTGTATTATTGTTGTATTTACCATTACGGACAGCCTGAGGTAAAATTTGTCAACTCATCTTGAGTTTAATCTTTGGTGCTTTGTAGATTTTGATGGAACCATTTATTTTTGCCAATATTGAAATAACAGCTTTTATCTTTCTTTTTTGCAGAGCACTATTAGCAGTCCCCTTTACTTGCGCAACACATTTAAAGTATGAACAAATCAATTACTAGTCATTGTTTGTACTAAAATAACTATTTAAAGAAAGCACTTGATATTTTATGGAAATTAATGCCAGCAATGCATAGAGTGTCATCTTTTATAGGATGTCTATGGATTGGCAGATTTTGCAAATAATTTAGTCTAGTTGGGATTCTGAGTAAAAATTTTAATGGATTGGTGGATCCTACAAGGTTAGTGGATTGTTATCCATTTTTTGGTCTGGATTTCAGTTTTTGCTAATTACAGAGTTCAGATTGTGGACAAAATAAAATTTATTGTTAAAACACAATCACACACAAAGCAGTTGTCAAATTATTTGCAAATACAGATTTTAGCTTTTTTCTTTTTGAGTTGATGGATTCAGTCATTAATTTTAACAAATTGACAGCTTTGAATACCCCCTCTTTTATGTGAATGTGACATGAAAATAGCATTTAATGAAATAGATATCTTATCGGGATTTGTATGTGGTAGTGTCATGTGACCTGTTAGTCCAAAATAATGGCCTATTGTTTATTGTTTTAAAATCTGTTCTACAGGCTAGAACTGATAGTACTGTATTTACTTTAAAATAACCTCTTACATTTTGTACTGTAGCTATCAGAAAAACAGTTTGAATGGACTGCACTTGCGGCTTGTGCCAAGACAAGAAGATGGAAAGACATTGATGATCTTTTAAAGGGAAAGGTGAAGTGCAACTTGATATATATTATTTCTGTACAGACAAATTTACTGACATAACTTTTTTTGTATTTACTTGCTTTTCACAGGGATGGTTTGGTACGTCAAAGCTGCGCTCTCTGATTGGTTTTGGTAAAGTTGTGACTCTTCTGTACCACAATAAAACACCTGAAGAGGCAAGTTCAATTACAATGAGAACACTCTCACTTTAACTGCTTTTGGGGGTTATTATTTCCTTAGTGTATCCAGTGTCGATGCTGTGCTTCTGGTATCTGATTGGATGGATAGTAAATTCTAGCACAGTGTAATTTGTCTTGCGTATGCTTTGCCATGTCCACAGGGAGCCCACAGAAACAACGTTCAAAAACATCTATCATACATCTATCTCAAAAACATTTGCTAAAAAGTTGATATATTACCAATTGAACTTAGTTGTACAACTAATACATTTTAGTTGACCTGATATTTCTTGTTTTTCCAGATACTTAGCAAGTACTTAAGACTAATAGATGATCTCAATAATAGGCTTTCATTAGCAGTCAAGTTCAAATGCCATGATGTGGTTATAGAGGTAATTTCACTACTTACTATGTCTTCTCATTAGTCTTGTGTTAGTGAAGTGTTGGTGATGTGTCAGTGTGGTGTTGGTGATGTGTCAGTGTGGTGTTGGTGATGTCAGTGTGGTGTTGGTGATGTGTCAGTGTAGTGTTGGTGATGTGTCAGTGAGTGTAGTGTTGGTGATGTGTCAGTGTGGTGTTGGTGATGTGTCAGTGTGGTGTTGGTGATGTGTCAGTGTAGTGTTGGTGATGTGTCAGTGTAGTGTTGGTGATGTGTCAGTGTAGTGTTGGTGATGTGTCAGTGTAGTGTTGGTGATGTGTTGATACTTTATATGCTTTCAGACTTTGGTTGCAATGAAAGACAGACAGAAACTCAACAAGTACAGAGAACAAATGCCAAATTATGCATCACAACAACAGACTATCACCAATTATCTAAGGAACTCAGTAAGTTGTTTACCCTAGCTGCTACCTGCCACATAGTGAACACTTCCACAAGTTCTCAATTTCTCTTTGACAACTTTTAATTTTTCTCTTTACAAATGTTAATAGTGCTCTTTACCGCTAACCAATTATATTGCTGCTTCACTTTGATGTTGAGATAGGCGGAGCTCATACATCAATGTAACCATACTGAAATACTGATATAAAAAGAAATCAAAAACTTGTGGAAGTGTTCAAAGTACGACCCATACCTCAGTAAGATTTTTTCATTTTTCATCCTTTTTACTCTAGATAACCCGAGCCACACATTACTTTCATATAGTGCCACAACATATATCCATGAAACAAAATGATGTGCTGTCTAATTGCAGCTGTTTTGTAGAAATAAGTGGATATTACTTGGGCAGAACATTGGGAACTAATTATTAAAAGCTGAATATATATGAAACTAGACATTTCCATCACTTTCCATGAGGCCTTTAAATTTAAACATCCCTTTAAATTTTTGTTTGCTGATATCGTCATGGAAATACTTTGATTGACATCCATCAAGACCTGTGTCATGAAGACAGTTCAAATTAACTTTCTTTTTTATTTCATCATTTGTAGCAAATCAAGTGGAAAAACTAAATACTAAGAAAGCCTGGGTCAGGTAGTGAACACATTATCACAGAGGTTTGAACAGGAAGGCACAAAATGGCAGTGATTTTAGATGACATTTCACATGAAAAAAGAATTTTATTCCTCAGAAAGAGATTCTGGTTCATGTGATTAGTGGCACAACAGACTGTTTTTCAAATGACCAAGAAAATATATTGATTTGCTAGTAATCAAATAAGCAGCTTTAACGCTAGACATTATCATCATTTCATTATTTTTCAAGCAAAATACTAAACTGCCATGCTACTAATTAAATTACTTTCATTTAGTCCTGACAATCTCTCCTCCATCACATTTAATTGAATAATCCACAATTAAAGTATTGCCATAAAATGATAGATAACTTGTGATGGAAATCAAGGTCTTATGACATAATTTACAAGTTACGAGTCATTGGTGAATCAAATGAAGCACTTGACTCCTGGGGTTCAAAATATTTGGTAATGAAAATTTAAAAAAAAAAAAAGAATACAAATTATAATTTTATAATAATAATTTATAGGATATACATGATATCATAATCAGGTACTTTTGTGTTGTAAAACTAATATTTGGCAAACAATTCTGAAAATTTGTAATAAATAGCCAAGTTTTAAATATCATCCAAATTATTTTTTCTGTCGTTTTGATTTTGCTCGTGCACATTATGATGCAAAGGTGTTTTTTTTCAAATAATACAGTTTGCTCATGTGCAGTAGCATTGCATTTGTGAACATTGCTCACTTCCCTGTGACTTGGTATGTTTGATAGACATAAAAAAAAGCCAAAATTTCAATAGAAAACGGAAAAAATACTTTGAATGATAAAATAATAATTATTGAACTCGATTATCACAAAATATCAAGATTTGTTAGTGTTTCACAAACAATAATATTTGCCACTGCCTTTGACATCAGTAAATAATATTGCTTGCTGGCTACTAATTACAAATCACGACATTTTGCTTAATATTCTCATAGTGATCAAGCACAAAACAATCAGAGTCGAGGATCTAGGGAAACAAAAGAATAATTACAATTACATTATCGTTTCCCCACAGCCTCGACTTCACGTCTTTTATACTTGACCACTCAACCAGAAAAATTGATAGCTGGCCTGAGATTGTTCCAGAATGTTTAGCTTTGCATTGACATGTCCTTGGTGCTAAACAAAATGGTGAACCTTTTACACCGGTAGTTATATTGTCTTGCATTTTCTAGCCTATACAATATTTTTAATTGAAATATTTGGACTAATTTGAATAACTACTGTATAGCATTTCAAATATTCCACGGGGGGAAACGGAATAATTTTTTTTCTTGATATTTGGTTTCCCAGAATGCTTTGTGAGCTTTGATGCACATTGCGTATTGAATGCACGTCTTTGTGATAGCAGAGAATATTAATTGTAAAATAAATTATTTCTAATTTAATTACAGTATAGGTTGATTATCATTTTTAATATACATTGTAAATAGTAAGTAACTGCATATTTTTAAGGAGTTGTATTAGTTGTGATAACATCTTGTTCATTGTCGTCATCGTCTTCTAGTGATGATTTCAAGGACTGGATGCTTGTTGACATTACTAACCCAACCATTGGTCGAGAAAGCTTCTTTCTGTGTTGTAACCTGAATCGTCTAGCTTTAGATGTTGGGGATCGCCCATCAAACGTGGATTCACTGTATGAATACCAATATTATCATCAATGCCAGTATAAGCCTGCACTAAACACTGTGAGCAGGACACTGACCATACACTAATCATGGAGATATTTTACTAATGCTGATCAACCAGTACTTAACAAAAATCAAACAGTTTTTTCCATACTTCGTACAGTAATACAGCATAAAGATATGCAGACGTAAGCACAAAAGAAGTTTTCTTAAACTTCTTTACACACTTTGCTGTGTGTATATGCAGTTTGCTTCAGCAACTATGCTCTGTTCACTAATGCGGCAGAGTTTTCGACCAATTAGAGCATGCGTACTATTTAAGCTATATATTGATAACAACATATAAACCTTTCAGCTTGCAGTTTAATTTGTGAGTCTTTTGCCAATGATTTCAGACCAGTGTCATTTCCTAGAGTAACATTTCCTTATTTAATGGTAAGAGAAGCCATGAATATGGATACAACTCAAGAATCTTATTCTCAAGGGAATGACATTTTGGTCTGAAATGGGAAAACAAGCTCTATGTAATGGAGAACCAATATAATGGATTTTTTTTTTTTCTACCTCGTATCACTTGAAACAGATCTTGTTCTTTCTTGGACTTGAGGAGTTGTTTCTAGTAATGTCTGTGTCTTGTGTAGAGCTTGCAAAGCTTGTCTGTGAATAAAACAAGTCTGTTTTGAAAAACCCTTAGGCCCTGGCTAAACGAGGAAGCAAGTTTCCAGAAACATGTTTCCCACGCGCATGTTCCCCAATGTTTCCAAGTTTAGCCACATGCGAAACATTGCTACATATGTGCAACAAATTTTGCTTCCAAGATGCAAAAATGTTTCTGCTGTGCAACAGAAACATTTCATGCTTCCAAGACGCATGGAAACAATGTTTCCCAATGTTTCCTCGCTTAGCCACGAAAGTCAACATTTCTAAAAGTTCATTACTTGGCAACGCTAGCTCTATCTTGAAAGTGCACATGCGCTAACCGATATTGAGCAAGCATGCTTCCCGATGTTTCCTGACAGTTTTGCCACCTTTGGAAACATTTAAGAAAACATGTTTCTGGAAACATGTTTCCTCATTTAGCCAGGGCCTTAGCATGAACATAACCACTCTGTGCTGTCATGGAGTGACACCTACCTTAATTCCTTACAGTCATCACAAGATTTAATTCCTGCTAAGTATACCTCCCTGCGACAGAAATAAAAGCTTTTACAGTACTCTACATCAAATTGATTTTACAGAATGTAGCAAAGCATAAATAGTATTTCACTAAATAACTGCTGCTATAAACATTAGTGCATAATAGCTAGATTTAGATTGCATATCTTATAAATTCAATCAAAAAAGCCATGAGCAGTTGGCTTCTTGCTATATGGTTCCTGTGTCAGTATATCGCAGCAAATGTTTTAAGTTGATAATACATCAACTTTTTTTGAGATTTTTGTACATAATTCTCGAAATTTCTGCACAAAAACACATATTCACTATAATATATACTGAATTAAAACATGATGACTAATTTATTTGAATAACTATTGTTCTCCACTGACTAGCATCGTGTTCACGTGGAAACAAAAAGGCATTTTCACGTCCATGCATGTAAGAGAGGCTAGTCAGTCATTAGTCATGATCAGTGCAGAACAATAGTTATTCAAGTATTGATCACTATATTTTGATTCAGTGTATCCTGACACAAAAACCAGGGCTGCCTGTGAATACATCACTGGATTTCTGAACCAGGTTAGGCCCCATGCTCAAGCTAATACCTGGCTTCATCCCATTTATTCTGAAGAATGAGAGCTGTAGCTTTTGACTTGTATGGTTTTGGCAATGAAGGATTTATTCTGATGGCCTAAGAAAGAAATGGAAAATTACACTCAGAGAGCACATCAATAAAGTTTATGTATTAATAGTAGAGTGAAGTCGCTAGAGTGATTTGATTTAACTCGTGAAACAAAGTCGTATAACTAGTGACTAACAGTCAAAGTAAAACAAAAGAAAACAATGGAATTAGCTGAGTGACAGATCCAGGAATTTGTTAGGAGGGTGTCCCAAATGAAAAAATTTACATAGAGATATGATGCATTGCTTCAAAAAACGTAATTGTAATTATTGCACTGGTGGTATCTGGTGCACCTGCCCCTGATTAGTGTCTACTAATATTATGTATTACGTTGACTATTCTTTCACGGTCAAGGTAAAATCACTCTAAACCTGTGAAATAGTTATTAGACTAATACAATTAGACCCTAATTCCTTTGTTTCTTTTGTGTCCATTTGACACAGACTAGTGTTTTTTATTTCACTGGTTAAATGCCTTCACTCTTCTATTTTTTGGAGCACATTTGGAGTAATTAAATTAAAATACACTTAACTTATACTAATGAGGTCTATACATGTATGGAAGGATGGGTTCAAGTTCTAACCAAGAGTCCATCAACTATTTTTGCAGCCAAATGTCATCGATAGTGGCTTATCTAGTAGATGGGCCTTTTGCTTTCTTGGTGCTTTCCAAGTTTGTTATAAGGAGTTGCACATATTAAGAACCCCCCCCCCCCTCCCTCCTTCAAAAACCCATTTCCAGGGACCACAGAAAGGAAGGTGCTAGGGACTGAGGGCTATATAGATCAGCCCATCCACTTTGCACACAAGCGTCAAAATCAACATGGGAGTTGAGTGTTGCATGCATAAAATATTGAATTAGTGCAAAACAGCTACAATGACTGTACACTTAATAAAGATTATTTCATGCACTAGGGTGCCAATTTTTCTAATACTGCAGATCTCACCTCATCGGCACTGTGCAGGGTAGCACTGATAACACTATTGATACCATCAGTACTGTCTTTGTTACTATAACAGATTCAAAGAAAAAAAGAAAAGTATGAGAATTAAAACAACTATCACTAGGGGAACAATTTTAATTCAAAATGTCCATGCATCCTCATGCATAATCTAAAAATGGTTCTAGTGCGCACATTCAAATATCAAGAATCTAGAATAAATTTATATTTATATACAGCTATTTTAAAAAGGTTGAAGGAGCAAATGGCAAATGGCAATCAGTGATTGGCGACTGCATGACTAAAAGGAACTGTGGTCATACTATTAAGGAGACATAAATCCCGGGGAATTTCTGCTGGGACCCTAAAATGGCTACCCTGTTCATGACAAAAATACTCAAATTTGCATACCCTGTTTATGACAAAGGGCACAATATGTATATCCCTGTATATGACAAATCTTGTTCTTCCAGGTTTTTTTAATTCATGTAACCTTTATTAAACTGTGGCAAATTAATCTGAAAATGATGTAAGTCTTTKGAAACTTYRGRAGACTTATCRACTAATTGYGCTCATTTYCTGTGTTATTGAGTTAAGCTATCTAACCTCTGATCCCACTGCGGGTTTAATGCTCACAGCCAATCAGAGGAGACTTATGAGAGACTGCTTATGACCACCATGGGTTTGATAAAATACATAACATGTATATGACAGGAAACTCAAACAAAGCTGGAAATTTGTGTGAAATTGTATACCCTGTTTATGTATGACAAGAAACTCGAAAAACCATACCCTGTTCAGTGGATCATCCCCGTATAGTCTATATATGGGAGTACCCCCCCCGGGACATAAATCACACCTTATCAACTCGAGATTTAAGGCCTTAGCTGAATGGTGCAGGCATCCTTTAAGGTATTTAAGAAATGTTTATAAGGAAATTTTTATTACCCCACAGTTTTCCTTTTGATCATGCAATTGCCAATTTGTGACTGCCATTTGCCATTCACCCCTTCAACCTCTTTTGAAGTAGCTGTATATATTACAACCGTTTTGTCCTTCTGCATCACCAGACCTTAGGACCACTAATTTTTAATCAGGTAAGGGGGACAGTGGTATTCACTCCTTAAAGAAAATTAGATCTCCTCTGTGTCGTTTAATAAAAACACATTTTTCCATACTGTTTATTGTAATGTTTAATGTAAAAGTGCAGTGCAATAGACCTTTTCAGCTTGGGTATAATGTATTCCTAATTCAGACCACGTGTCATTCCCTTTAGGAAAAGATTCTTTGAATTTGTTTTTACTTATCATGCATATTTGTTAAAAAAAGAAATGATACTCTAGGGAATGACAAGGTCTAAAGTGGGAAAACAGTACGCCCAAGTCAAAAAGGTCTATTCTAATTCTCATTCTAATTCATTCTAATGATAGTTTTAATGGCCCCCCTCAAATCCCATCAACCCCTTCCCGGTAAAAAATGAACGGTTTCTTACAGTGTTTATTACAATAATGTGGTCGAGTGTGTATCAGGATTATTTCATGTTCAGTGACGCCGAGCAAAAAGCGACTACGTCGTATTAATCTAAATACAACGAAACTTTGTCTAGAAAATATTGAACGCAGCGCGCGCGTGCATTAAGGATAATAGACTATGTAGATAGCATACAGCATCGTAATTACATCTATCACTATACTAGATTGACAACAAATACACTACCATATCGATAAGTACACAGATTAAATAGCTGTGGTTTCTTGAGACAATATGCTATGGTCTCACACACGGAAACATGTAACCTTTGGATAAATTGGATGGTAATACACTTCATATACAATACCTTATCTCCGACAGAGCTTCATTTGATATATTGTTGTTACGATCGCTTCCTTGTTGTTTTGGCGTAAGAAGTTCCTGTATATGTTGATCCATTTCTAGGCGCATAGCAGCGATGTACATATCTGTTGCTCCAGAAATGTCACCTTCAATAAACATATCGCTCCCGTCTTTCTTTAAGACATCGATTCTCTAATATAAAATCAAAAACAAATTAATCGTCAATAAAGGGGATTTTCTATTATAGGCAGTGATTCCTGGATCTAACCTCGTCACTTGGATTTTTTTCCATGTTCTGCAGATCTTCTATCAAAAGCCAAGTCGGTATTTGACAAATATTGATAAGATTGTAGCGGAAGCGATGAAGCGATCAGATGTCAACAAGAAAGGCTATTGGACCATTTGATATCACGATGACCACCATTGCAAAGTGATTTTCACGTTGTCAGTTGTACTGCGGGAGTAGAAACATGTGTTGAAGTAGTAGTATAGCTTTTATCTTATATGTAGCGACTACGAAGGATACAAAAGCCTTTCGAAAACGAAGTGGGGAGGGGATGGGGCAAAAATTGTACTGACCACAGGAACCCCAGACCACAGCCCCCACGCAAAGCTCAGGCGCCATTTTGGAAAAGTCTAAAAGTTTACATCAATTTTCTTGCTTCAATGATGGATCTCTTCGATGATCTCCCTCCTCCAAGTAAGTGATATTCTATAGATATTAATGTATTCAAACCACCATGTTATATCTTGGCTTTGTTCGTTGTTGATCAGGTAATGACGTGAGTTCCACTAGTACAAGTACTGTATCATCAGGAGAGGTTCAGACTACATGTGGATGTAGTCTTGTGGATACTAGTGTTGTACAGGACGATGTAAAACATAATAAGAGATACATTAACCAAAAAGAGCAGGAAACTGATGCTAAACGACGGAAAAGTAAGGGATTTACTATTTTAATTTGTTGTCGTTGATAGCTGATCTTTGAGCTGATCTTCATGTATGGCTCATGGGATAACATATTGTAGGCTAATGTCGTACCGAAATTAATAACAAAGTAGTTGATTTAATCACAGCTTACTTGGTTAATGAGCATCTAATCAAAAGGCTTTGATATCACATATATAGAGGCTTTGAACCATCACGTGATGCCAGCCATGACAGGAGACAGGAAAAATTAATATTAATGAATCTGGTCTAATCTGATTTACTTGAGAAAGATTTTATTTTCCCAGGTGAGAACAACTCTATTGTTGTTCCTCCTGTCATGACTGCCATCACATGATGGTGTAAAGCAAAATGGTGCAACAACTCAAATCTGGTTTATTCCCCTAACCCACCCCTGGTGCACCAGAAATTTTAAGCTTCTTGGCTGCATCAGTACATTCGCTTGTACGTTTACTTGCTATGAAACTTGCAAGGAGATTTTGGTGAGGTTAGAAAACAGTGGTTGCAGGAGGTACATGTGTGTTGGAGGTGATGATTGGGTTCTATCTGGTACAGTAAAATAATCAGGAAGATTGCCTGCTTTACTGACTGTTTATAGTGTAAAGTGTTTACCAATACAGATAGTGCAATAACCTTTTATCTATGCAATCCATGTCATCTATTTTGAGGGTAGTCATTTTAAATATTGTATATTTTTAGAAGAGCATTTCAAATTGAAAGGATTCGTGGCTGAAAGGAAAGGAGAACGAGAAGACATGCAAGATGCTCACATTATAATTGATGACTTCATGTCATCACTAGAAAATCCACCTGAGAATGTGTGAGTATACTGTCAGTTGATGAGCAACAAAGTAAAGCATTGGTCATTGATTAGCATGCATCCATCCAGGTTGCTAAGCTCAAAGAATTGCATGAGACATAGCCGAGTGCGACTCTAACTTCTTGAGTGCTTAAGCAACCCACAAAGTGCACCCAAAACTCCATGAATGCATGCTAATCGATGACCAATGCTTTTATAACATAGCAAAAGTGTAAAAAATCTTGGTTAATTGAGAAAAAAAAATTCTAACCAAATCTGCATTACCTAGCACATGCTACTCATCTGACATCACCATGCACCATAGATTTTTGGATGCACCCTTGCGCACACTAATTAACCAATCAGAGTATGCATTATATCATGGCTATATATAAAGTTCTTTCATACATTTTTTGTTATAGTGGCAGGATGGCATATTATGCAGTGTTTGATGGACACGTAGGACCCAGAGCTTCTCAATTTGCAGCTCAACATTTACATCTTAATATCAAGTCCAAGATGATAAAAGGTTAAACATTGGTAAATATGCTATTAGTGTGGGTATTAATGCCTTCATAATCACATGTTAGGGGGTTCCAAGACTGTAGGCCAGGGATCTGGTGAAGAGAATTATTAGTATACACAATTCCTATATAATTCATTACCTTTTACACTCTGACTCCCTTGCTATCAGCCCTTCCTTTTGGAGGCCATTTAAGAGTGGGGTAATGTTACTGCTACTAGTACCAACTCAAATCCTGAAAAATCTCTAGGCTGATCAAAGTCAGGACAGGGCTAACTTCAAACATTGCTTTGGAATTTAGTATTTTGAGATTCGTGGAGGGAGGAGAACTGGAGAAAAACTAAACCAAGTCAAGGGAAAGACTCAATCAACTCTATTTTACTATATCAGAGGCCCCAGAGGTGGGAGACAAGTACACTGCTACTAGTCCATCCTTGATTATCCAATACAATTTGAATATGTAAGGCCCTTTTGATGGTAAATTTGACAAGCAGCATGGCCTTAAAAAGGCAACACTACAGCCAGGAACTAGCAACAGTGGTGCTATGTTAAATTCCGACAAGCAATAAAGCAATGTTCCAAAACTGCAACATAGGCAATTGTGGAATTCAGTCAGAGGACATTGGAAACCCCTACTTATAGGGCCTCATATGTGGTCAAATGTTAACAGTAGTTATTACATGTATCTGTAAAAGTGTTTAAACAGGTGTTTTTGGTTTTTAGCCAGTGTACTAGGCAGTGATAGAGAAATGAAAAAATGTCTTGTGGATTCATATTCTTTGACTGATGAACAGTTTTTGAATGAAGCTTCTAAAGAGTAAGTACCATAAACACAATATGAACGTACATTACTATTCTTACAGGGACTGTACAATGTTTTTAAACTCTTTTAAATGAACAAGAACCTGATTTATTTATTTGATGGTTTTGATAGCACAGTTAATAATACTATTCTAACTGCTGTCCAGATGTGATGGTAGCTCATCATCAATACCTTTTTACTCCCAGGACTCCTGTTCTTAAAGATGGTTCTACTGCAGTATCTGTTCTTGTTGTGGATGATACTTTGTATGTTGCAAACCTTGGTGACAGTAAGGTACAGTAAATAAACCTTCGAGATTATGCAATATGTGTATTGAGGACTGCAGAGGAGAAAGCTCAGGGCTGCAGCGCTAGAGGGACTATAGCTACCTAACTTCTTGATTATATTCACTCAATTTTCAAATCTCAGCCTCTTCCCTTTTAATCTGGAATATACGCTTGTACGCTTGTATAAGTTTAGTATGTTTTCTAAAATCCAAGCACCCACTCCTTTTATGAGGGGGGCTCTGCATTCCTTGGTATAGAGGTTTTACACTACCACTTGACATCCCTTTTTTGAGGGTGCTCTGCATTCCTTGGTATAGAGGTTTTACACTAC